TTTCATAACTTCTTCATTGTCACGATAGTTCCACATATATTGATTCTTTACAACTATGAGCTTGTAATTTGTGTTTATAAAAATCTATCACTGAAAACAATCTTCTTTGAGATTGCATGGACTTGCACATTGACACCTTTAGTAACTTATTATGCAGTTCAACTGGTCTGTTATGGGGCATTATTTTGTATCTATGCTGGTGTTTTTTATTATCACATGGATTCCTTAGTAAATGCAACATCAACGTTACTCGCATCAATTGATAACGCTCGCAACACAGATATTAAATTCATTCTTGAGCATACATTGATATTGTTCAATGAAATAGATTTCTATTCTAGCAGAGTTCGTTCCATGCTTTTTTATTTCTACACTGGAGTGGCTCTTCAATCCCTTTGGTTCATCCAATTCGGCGTAATTGTTGGAAATCATTCTGTTGTAATGGATATCCTCATTGCTTTTATTGGGATTGCGCTTATAGCTCACAATTTGATAACCAGTCTCTTTTCTGCACAATTGAACAAAAAGGTTGATTGAGTTTTGCCAAGTTTAATTTTAAACTTAATGTCTATTTTCAATCTACAGGTTGCCAGTCTCTATTCAATGTGGCATCAAATATATTGTAAAAGTAGATCAACAACAATTATGAAATTAAAAGTATAACCCAATATAATTTAATTTAACTCACAGGGCTATTCAGCTAATATGATGTAAGTGAATCAGCAGAGTTAGTGACTCTGCAAGCGAGTGATGGCAAGTTTATGCGACATTCATTTTTGCCTATTCTGAATACCTTCTGTAGATAATCTGTTTGTAAATCAACATTCGATATTCAGAAGCTAAAAGCTTTTCCTGAAAAATGTTTACATGATTGAATCGGCATCTAGAGAGTGAAAATTTGTGACTTCAGAAAATAGCCTTTTATTGAAGAAGGAAGTCAAATGAATCTTTACACTTGAACAACATAACTCTTCCAGTTGTAAATCACATTCAGCACCATACAGTTTAGCTGAATAGCCCTGCACATTTTTTGTCCACGATTTATCTGGAATATTAACGAAAGGCTTGAATTTTAACAGAATAAATGTTTATATTCCAGATGGTTGAAATACTAAACAGATTAACCTTACCAACAACTGGAGTCCAGATTGGTGATTTTGGGTTGGTAACCAAAGAATTTGTGCTGATTGTGAGTATAATGTCTATTAAGAATAACTTCATAACTTTGTAATAATATTTTTCGTCAGTTTTTTCTAGAATTTATATCAACAATAATGATGTTCAAAGTAAATTTTGGATCCTTTTTTTCTTAACAATAGACGAATGCACATGTATTTAAATTTATGCAGTATTAACATTTGTACGATTTAAAAGTTTCTCTGATCCACAGTTTTTAAGAAACTTTTTATAATTGACCAGAAAATAAACTTATTTCGTCAAACTAAAATATTTCGTATTTGTTTTCTGTAAAATAGATCAGTTCCAATTTCATTTAAAGCGACCGCATTCTGTGATCGTAAGAGTTAGAAATCTGAAACTTATTACTGATAAATAAAAATTGTTTGTACACCTTCTGATTGATTTTATTGTACTTTTTTGAATTTCTCAAGAGTTCTCTTGATTTCGGCCATTAGATTCAAAGCTTTGAATCTCAATATTCCGACAATGACACACCTACAATCAATATTCTTTCACCAATTTAATGCTTTTCTGATTAATTAGTCAGTTCAACTCAATAACTTTCCATTATCGCATTTGGTTAATGATGATTGGTTTTAAATCAATCGACTCAGCTATGTGTCCCTAGAAACCCACCAAGTTCAGCACCATATTGCATTTCCATTTGGGAATTTGGAGCATGATTAGCATGCAAGCAACAAATTATTCAACAAACAAAACTCATCTCAACCAATATCTTGGTAAATAAACCAATTTTCTGGTTAATGTTGCAAATGAAAAACAAAAGGCATTGCTGAAAGCTCGAACATTTGAGTTCTGGGTTCAAACTTGAGTGAGTTTGTAAGGAAATGAAAACTTAGTCCATTGGTGCTATTTAATAGTTAATCCGATGGATAGTTTTCTGAAAAATCGAGGCCAAATTTGAAACTTCAATCGCTTTTTGTACAATTATGGATTATGATTTTTTCATGAAACTCGTTTCCCAGAGTTGCATTTTGATGGCTAACCAGAAAATGGGCATATTTTGAGAAATAACATTTTCTGTTTTCTGTAGAACAGCTAAGTTCGACTTTAATTTGTAGCGACCGCATTTTGTGACCATAGTAGTTAGAGCTTTGAAACTTTGTATTGGTCCATCGAAATGATTTGTACACAGTATGGATTGAATCCTTTCTTCAATCCATCAACGGTTCTCTTGATTTTGGCCATTGACCTAAAAAGTTTGAACCTCCACATTTCGAGAATGGCATAAGCTAAAATCATTATTCTTTGATCTAACATTAGGTTTTATTATTGGCTTCAACATATTGAAACAGTAAATTATTTAAGATCCTACTGAAAAAGTTATAGCATTGTGTTACTTATGTTATCATATTTTACTTTATGCATAAAGTTAAATGATTGCTCAAATTCAAACCTTAATTTTTAGAAGGATATTCATTTTGAAATGTATTTAGTCATGTTATATTGTAGCCCATAATAAAATATAATGTTTGTTCAAAGAATGATGATCCCAGGTGTTTCCATTCTCAAAATATCGGGGTTCAAAGTTTTAAGTTCAACGGCCAAAATCAAGCGAACTGTTGGTAGATTGAAAAAAGGATTCAATCCATACTGTGTACAAATAATTTTAATAGATCAATGATAAGTTTCAGTTCTCTAATCATGACGGTCACAGAAATCGGTGCATCCAAGTGAAAATCGAACTTGATCTGTTTTATAGAAATAGAAAATGTTATTTCTTAAAATAAGACAATTTTCAGGTTTGGCATCAAAAGAAACATCACTAAAATAAGTTTGACGAAAAAATTTGCTTCCATAGCTGAACAAAAGGCGATCGAAGTTTCAAATTTGGTCTCGATTTTTCAGAGAACTATCTATCGGATGAACTATTAAAGAGCACCAATGAACTCAGTTTTTATTTCCCTGCAAACCCATCCAAGTTACCACACAGAACTCAGATGTTCGAGCTTTCAGCAATGCCTTTTGCATTTCATTTGCAACATTAACCAGAAAATTGGTTTATTTACCAAGATATTGGTTGAGATGAGTTTTGTTTGTTGAATAAGTTGTTGCTTGCAATTCAAAACCCAATCATTCTGGTCCGAATGCGATAATGGAAAGTTATTGAATTGAGTTGAATAATTAATTCTTGAAGCATTAAATTGGTGAAAGAATAATGATTGTAGATACTAAAATTGTCGAAATATTGAGGTCCAAAGTTTTTAGTCTAATGGGCAAAATCAAGAAGACGGTTGATGAATTGATAAAACTATTCAATTCATAATGTGTACAAATAATTTCAATAGGTCAATAATAAGTTTCAGCCCTCTAACTCTTATGGTCACAGAATGCGGTCGCTTTAAATAAAAATCGAATTTAGCGGTTTTACAGAAAAAGAAAAGTTTTTTTTCTCAAAATATGTCCATTTTCTGGTTTGCTATCAAAAGTTACATAAGTAAAATGAGTTTCATGAAAAAATCTGGTCACACAACTGTACAAAAGGCGATCAAAGTTTCAACTTTGAACTCGATTTTCTCATAAACTGTGGATCACAGATACTTTTAAATCACACAAATGGACGTAGTTTTTATGTCTCTACAAAACGACAGAATCTAAGTTGGAAAGAAACCTATTTACCCGTTTTTGTCCGCTTTTGCTTGTTTGTCTATCAGTATTTTTGTCAATTTTTGCATAAATGTGTTTATTGTGTCGTTTTATTAACAACCATTTGAGCTGCTTGAATGAAAAAGTCTAGTTTATTAATAGCTATCGAATCTATTTTACTTAAATTCAATTTAAGCCAGTAAGCAATTCACCAAAATTTCACGAGTCTATTGAACACATAATTTTTGAGAAAATAAATTAACTAACTTGTACCAAAATATTATTTGCGCACAGATTAGTCAAGAGGCTTTTTTGTTGCTTAAAGTTATAAATATTAATATATTTAATCGTCTCAAGATGATTCCCTAATAGACTGTTGATATCGATTGTTGTACAAATTACAATTGAATGGTTCGTTTTTATAACTTCAAATTTATCATTTTAATGATTCCGTATTCATTTGATGATTGCCATTTTAATGGGTGGTAAAAAGTATCAAACTAAAATTGATTAATTGAAAAATCAAATAAAAAAATACGAAATTGAATGTAAACGTTCTTCATTTATTAAAAAACAATTTCTCAATTTTTCAACATTCACTCCGTGCATTTTAGTTGAATATTTTATTAACCTAAAATTATTATTTTAAACACTACAAATAATGTCAATACGTTATTCCATCATAGATGACAATAACTCAAAAGATCACAAAAGAGTGTATGAAATGAAAAAGCTAACAGCTATTATTATATGATCATGAATATTATTTCAAATGAGCCAATGCAGTTAAAGTACATGTAAAGGTTCTGGATTGAGCTGTGAAAATGACTTCAACGCAGTAGTTTCCATTCGATTTGTAAAAAAAGATTGATGGTGAAATACCAGAATCAAAACAGGTTGCAGAAATCACTGAAAGTCAATAATTCCAAAAACTTTGTCAAAGAATCAGTAAAAGTCCCAATTCCTGAAGAGTTATGAAATAATGACTGAAACTTGTGATCTCGATCAAATTTGTCATCTTCCTGAAAACTTGAAATCCAACTTGAAAACTAACACTTTGTCTGAGGATGATTAAAATTAAATTGTATTAAATTTTAAATTCATATAATAAACCTTCTAATAACAGTATTTCTGGTTCTTAAATTTTTTTCTGGTTTTATTTATCTTGCATCAACAAAAGATGGCGGTACTGTAGATTTGTTTTTATTTTACAACTTACTGAAGTTCAGTCATGATTTTAATATTAATTATATTTATTTTGACTATTCCAGTGGACATATTTAGTGATAAAGCTTGTGACAATTTCGACAAAAAGGGTCCTTATTGCCTATTTAGTAGTAAAAATGACATTAAACGTGTTTATGCAGCAAAAACTAAATATGATCAGTCAGTCAAGTTGTTTGCTAAATTGGCTGATTCTATTGATATCCCATCAACATGTAAACCTATCATGTTTTATTTATTTTCAAGACATGGAATAAGATATCCTGAAAAGGATGACATTATTGATATGGAGGAAATTTTGCCTAAATTACAAAGTGAGATTATTAATGGATACAACTCTGATCAAAGTGAATTATGTGAACAGGATTATCAAACGGTTAAAGATTGGAAGCTTCAGATGGTTCCTGAAAACGACAATCATTTGACGTCTAGTGGAGTTGAGACTACTAAAAAGATAGGTAAGTTAGCGGTAAACTTTTTTGGCATATTTTGTTTGATATTTAATTTTTGCATTTTTATTCATCAAAATTTAGCTGGATTATTTTATGAACGTTATCCAAGTTTATTTGATCCGAGTGAAGTTGAATTTAAAGTTGGTATTACTTCTAAGGTGCGAACCAATGAAACAGCTCATGCATTTGTTGACGGACTACGTGATTTACGACCAGGTATAAATGCTTTTGCCCAAATAAAAATTGAGATAACTTTTTAGCTGGATCATGGGTGAACTCACATCACTTTGTTATTTTTTCACAATCCAAATCAGATATCAATATTAATGAAGAGGATTATGTGATTCGCAATCACCTCCAGTTCCATTCGATTTGTAAAAAGAAGATAAATGGTAAAATACCTGAGCCAAGGCAAGTTAAAGAAATCACTGAAAGTAAATTATTCCAAAAGCTTCGTCAAAGAATCAGTAAAAGAATGGGATTGAACAGGACAATCGATGATGCGGAGCTGAGTGTAATGTATAAATCCTGTTGCTTCGAACAAGCAATCTATGAGAAAGCTCCTTGGTGCTCTTTGTTCACCAAGAAAGAGTTGAGAGCTTTAGAAACCAGAGAAGATTTAAAACATTACTACAGAAACGGACCTGGATTATATTTAAATCATCAGATGCCTTGTCCTTTAATTGGTGATCTCTATAGAGCTGTTATAAAAGGAATTGCTCAGCCTGAAAACAAGACAACTTATCTTTACTTTTCACATGCAGGTTTGTGCATATTGATATATTGCATGTTCAAATACCTGTAACTCCAAATTACCGAATTAACATTTATTTATGTTTTTTTACCGCAGGAGCTTTAGCAAGATTATGGGCTGCTCTTGGTCTTTTTGATGATCTAGAGATAAATCATAACTTTTGTCCAGATGAAAATCGAAAATGGCGAACCTCTTTGATGCTTTCATTCAATGTAAATTTCGACGTCGTACTTCACCGATGCACTGAAAACAACAAATCTACTAACCCGTCTGATTACAAGTTATTGACTATGATCAATGGATTCCCTGTAAAAATTGACCACTGTGATGATTCAATGTGCAATGCCAGCAAATTTCTCAAGAAGTATAAAAAGATGGCTGAAAGTTGTGATCTTGATCAAATATGTCATCTTCCGTAATTTTCAGAACAAACTTACGAGATTAACTATGTATGCAAAGTTATTCAATTACACGTTAATTTTATTACAATAAAATTAATAAAACAAGGGAAAAAATAACTTATTTTCTTGTGATTTTTGTATTAACCTGCAAAGATTTGTATCATAAATGTACAATTTTCGCAATATTTTGTAAATACTTTGATGATTTAAATTGCCACAATCAAGAATAAATAAATTCCCATAAACACATACATTGTATATATTTAATCCATTTACAATGAACAAGGTTAGTTAAATGATGGATTATCCCGACATTACTGGTTCTTTTTCAGTTTCACCTCATAGTTTCTCAAACATTATCAAAAGTATTAACTTATTTGAAAGTCGAACGTGATTGAGTTTCATAAACTTCATCAAAATGTTCACCACTTCTCAGATAAGGTCAGGAGGAACTTTCCGATCGAAAGAGTCAAATTTCAAACGTGGTGGAAAAAGCAGTTCTCAATCATACATAAAATGTTGGAATACATAAATAAAAAATTATGGTTTAGACGCTAGGATGGGATAAGATAAACGAGAGTAACAAAATAATGACAAGGTGTTAAAATTGTTAATTTATTTCGTCTTCATTTATTGGCACAAACCACGATGAGTATAAATATAAAATAATTTGTCATCTCATCTCCTCGAGATATTTTATCATTTCAATTTCATCTTAATTTTATCATACTTCTAGTAATTTTTTGAGGCAAATCACTTGTAATACATTCATTATACATTTTACATATACATTGCATACGTATATTAATATAGTCTTTAAATTTAGAATAGAAGAGTTCATCTACATTCTCATATTTACGTCACACCAAAAAGATGTCTGTCTCTGAATTGATCCTTGGGTGAAAAGAAAACAAAATCATGATTAAAATTGACTGTTGATCACTTTGTCTAGAGATGAGATTAGGTGGGGTGAGGGTAAATTTAGAGTGAAAATTAAATTTTACTCAAAAAGTTTGGAGCTAAAATGAGTGAATGAAAAGGCTTGCTTTGCATTCACATTAAGAAATTCTGATAAAAAATGGTTGATTGAAATCACATGGTGAGAGAGAGAGATCGAAAGAACGACAAGAAAAGAAAGCGTATCTTTTCATCCGGAAGTACAATACTATCTTCACTTTCTGTGTGTCTTCCATCACATCTTATCTTTCAAGAGGCTTGTCACAAAGGATCTCTTCCAACTTCTGCCAAAAAATCGGCTCAACAATGTTGATTTTCTTCCAATTTAATAAAAAACAGCTTTAATTTTTTAATCCACTTCCTATTCTTCATCCTTTTCATTGACTTTCATCTAAACCGTTGATAAACTTTCACTTGATCCAAGCAATGTATTGATTGAAACTTCCAGCATCCGTATCCATCGCTGATTACGAACGAGTGATTAAAATGAATCATCAGAAAATCACATAATCAGGAATTACATTTCCTTAGTTCTGTTGTCTTGCATTTTAATGCAATAATTATCTTTGTCTCTTTGTTTTTAAAATCTATAATGTATAATTTATACAAATAAAAAACTGTATCCATATTTTACAATTTATTATTAAAACTCTCAACTTTAAAGTCCAGCCATTTGAAAGATGCTCATAGACAATTAGATTAAAGGCTGTCAGGGCTTTTCGTTTATGGCTGAGTGTTAGCTGCTTGTTTGGCTGCTAGAATCAGTGGGTGAAGTGAAGATAGTGGCCTTCCTAGTTTAAGGAAGGGATGCTGTAGAAATGAAAATAAGAGAAAAAAAGAATATAAAATTAGCCTTGCCTCAAGAAATATAAATATAATTAGAAGGTTTAAATATAATTGTTTCATATTATCGAGTCAACATGCAATGATGTAATCTTTACATGATGATAATGCTTGTCATGTAAGTGAGTGAGGAAAGGAAAAGATTGAGGGTTGACAGTTATTTAAAGCAATTATAGAGTGACTGCTGATATGATTCAATCAATACAATATCATGTTTCTGTATCATGATGTAAACTTACTTTAAGAAGCTCTGATGATGACCATCGTTTATCCACATCAACTTCAAGGCACTTGTCCAGAAATTCTTGAAATAAAACTGAAAGTTTATCCTTATCTTTAATTTCTGGTTTGCCAGTGGTGGCGATCAGATAAAGAGCCTAAAATAAATAAGATGAAAAAGTAAATAGAGATGAATGGTTACCAAAGAGATGATCAAAAGAAGTCCGTCAATCAAATGATAGAGAAAAAAAACAAGGAAGAAATTTCTTTTCAAAATTGGATGAATAATTTTTTGAAAAGTTAGGGCGTGAATATAATAATTACCCTAAGAGGATGTTCATTCAAATATGGAGGCTCTCCTTCAATCATTTCAATGGCTAATATTCCTAAAGACCAGATATCGACTTTTGGACCATACTGTTTTTTGTTGACTACTTCTGGAGCCATCCAATAAGGTGTACCAACAAGAGTTGTCCTTTTGTTATGTTCAGGAGAGATTTGAGCACAAAAACCAAAATCGGTTAATTTTACTGAGCCATCCATACCAAGGAGAATGTTATCTGACTTAATATCCCGGTGAATGACATCATTTGAGTGTAAAAATTCCAAAGCTTGTAAAATTTCTCTGAATTAAAAAGAAAGTGTAAACTAAGATGAAATTAATTGGTATGACAAAAAAGAGTGGGAAAAAGATAGAGAGAAGGAGAAAGAGTACAGAAAAGGAGAAAGAAAATGAAATGTCAGCAGTAAAATGAAAGAGTAATGAAATTAAGAAGGAAGAGTTTAATGAGGATTATCTCATTCATTTAAATAATGAATTTGATCCTTGTCAGCTGACAGTCAAGGTTATAAAGTAAACATAATGGGTGTCTACCTTAACACAGCAGCAATTTGACCCTCATCCATGCAAGTTTCGGTAACAACGTCTACCAGAGACCCACCAGGTAAATACTCCATAACAACCCACAATTCATCACCAACCAAATATGAATCTAGATAATTAACAATATTCGGGTGCTTATTTTCCTTCATTACCAAAATTTCGTTTATTATAAGCTCCTGATTTGGTTGTTGAACAAGTTTCATTTGTTTAATTGCAACCTCCATTCCTGTTGATACTTCGATAGCAGTATAGACAACACCCGAGGCTCCTTGACCGATTTTTTCAATCTTTGAATATTTTCTATAAGGATCACCAATGGTCACTATGCTACGTAATTTATCCATAATTTCTTCATCGGACATTTTCTTTTTCTCGAGTAATCCGTTTTTATCTGGTTTACCTAGTTTACCAAGATTATTGGCATTTACTTTATCAGCACTTTTAATGTTGTTGGGCAAATTAGTTTGCTTGTTGTTATTTAAGTTATTAATATTATTGTTATTGTTATTATTATTAATAGCAATATTAATATTATTATTATTTACACATTCCTTGGTAATTGTTTTGGTTTTGTTGACACTGTTATTTAACACGGTCAGGTTGTTATTATGACCAGGTTTAGGATCTATTGAAAGGTTATTGACAGCATCGATGGTTTCATCTATGGTTGGATGAATGTTCAAGTTGTTATCTGAATTTTTAGGTGTCGTTGGAGGCTTATTTAGATGTGAAGTTGCTAAGGGTGTTGTAGGTGAATTGACTTCTTTTGGTTGTGATGGAACTGAATTGTTTGCAGATACATTTAAAGATGGTGTAGTATTGTTAATGTTGGAAACTGAAACTGGAGAATTGGTTAACCCAGGAAATTTAGATTTACATATTGGCCTTGTATAAATGGATTTTGTCTTCTCCGGACGAGTAGGTGGTGGTGGTGGAGGTGGATGAGACGGAGGTGTTGTTTGTGCATGGTTCTCATCAATTGGTGAAGATCGTTGGTGAGGATCATCGATGTTATTACTATCACGACTACTGCTGCTATTACAACTGCTACTTCCACTACTCTTATCACCAATTGTTGTAAGATTAGATTGAATAGGGTAATTTGAATGGTGAACATGAGAAATATTTTGCTGATGTATTTGATGTTGCGTAGAATGTGATTTAGTATTATCTTCTTCCGGAGTTGATGGTGGATTTGAACTGAGCGAAGATGTACATGATAAAGGTTCTTGTAAAGATTCCCGAGGTGTACAGCTACTTCCATTAGATGAAGGACTTATTTTGATTAATGAATGGACTGGTGAGCTAGTTGCACTTAAATTTCCACTTCCAAGTCCGGCATCACTAGTGCAACTTGAAGCAGAATTGGATGAGACCAACATGGTTGAAGTGGTTGATACAGAAATACATGATGCATTCTTTTTAACATATTTGTTATCGGGAACATAATTCGGTTGAGGAACATCTAATCAAAGAGAAAAAGGAAGAGAATGAATAAATTTGATAATATAAACTGAAGAGGTGTAAAACAGTAAAATGTATAAATCATCTTTGATAGAAATAAAGATAGTAAAGGGAAATAATATTTAAGTCTACTGCCAAGGTAAGTAAAAAACATAAATCACAATCGAAAAAACATACTTGACGTTAAATAAGAATCAATCAAATCCGCTGTGAGTTAAATGAGGGTGAAAGAGGAAGAAAAATGAGGATAGGAAAAAGAGAGAAGAAAAAAGATGATAAAGATAATTAAGAACGAGAGCAACAAATATCAAAACACACAAATTAAGTTACAAAGCAGGGGAAATTGAAACATGTTTATGGCTTTGAGAAAAAGGTGACTTTTAACTGACTTTAAAACATCATTTGGAAACCAATAAACCTTGACTAACCAAATTAGTAGTTAATCAATCAGAATAAATAGAAATAAATAATCTCCTAATAATTGAACCATTATAAGATAGATAAAAAAATCAAAAAAACTTGAAATGATTTGCATTTGTAGTCTTTTTGGTTTATAACATAAAAGTATGAAATCATCAGTAGAATAAATTAAAGCTCATTTTCAATACCAACCTAATGATCGATTAATTGTCATGTATTTAGGTAGATTTCCAATTGTTTCACGGTTACTCGAATCATACCAATTGAGAACATCGAGAACAGCTTGAGGATTATTTTTCTGCTCTATTTTACTTATATTAGAGTGTTGAAGCAGTTTATTCCAAGATTCTGGCATCCCGGTGAATTCACCTGTGTGGGCATCAAACCTAACATGAATAGTGTGCTCAAAATTGGTTGGTGATGAAATAAATGGTTTATGGACAAATGAAGAAGATTGATTGTGATTGCTTGAGCCATGAACTCCAAAATTTACATTATGATCTTTCTTGTCATTTTTATGAGATTTGCTTGGTTTAACCTTTAATCCTTTCTTAATTACTTTAGAGGCAACACTGTTTCCTTTTTCAGGTTCCTTTGGTAAGGGACGGAGATCAACAGGAACTGAACTATTTGAATTGTATGGTTGATGTAATGGCGTATGGTAAAGTGATTGTTGGTGAGCATAGTTGACCGTTTGGTAATTATGAGGATAATGGTGAGGAGAGGCAGGGTTACTATGATTTACAAAATGGCATTCTCGGCTATTACACAGTTTCGAATGGTTATTTTGTTGAGAGGTCAATCGAACAGGAGGTTGCGGTGGTTTGTCCTCCATGGTGTCACTAAGTTGTGCTGGAGATGAAAAATCTCGAGCCAAATAATGATGAAAATGTGATCAATTTGAACTAAGACAAGGCAAGTAATGGATCAATTCCAACCAAACAATCAGCCCAGTAGTGGGAGACAAAATTATCTATTTGATTAAACAGAAACAGGCTTGCCCGATTGATGGTTTTTCACTAAATTTCCAAATGCGCGTGTGTGTTGGGATTCTTGAGGCTGACAAAAATGATGAAGATAGGAGATTTTGAGCACAACCAATGTAAACCAATAAAATTTAATACATTTAACAAATGTACACTAGGCAGTGGTTTAGGTGATGAGAAACCATTTAGAAAAAATCTTTATAGTTGAACTGTTAAAATAAATCGAAAGATAAAGACATTAATGAATGTTACCTAAACAAATTGGTAAAAATGAGAATAAATTTCATGTCACTAATGAAAGATGAAACAGTTGTGTTTTGTTTTGCTCTTCTCGACATCAACTCATGGCAATGAGTAAAGTAGAAGAGACAAAATTCATCAACATGTTATGCTTTTAACGCCATCTTCTGATGTTTCTCAAGTCAACTTTTTAAATACGAAAAATGAAATTGGCAAATGGTTATTAAATGCAATAATTTAAATTATAAATTTACAACTGTCTTAAAAGCTAGAAAACCAGTGAAGATGAAAGATAAAAGGAACAAAGCAAAGGGCGAGTGAATGTCATAAGCCAGAAACAATAGTAATTCAACTTACCTCTTATTCGATAGACGATTGATTTAATTTTAATTTTAAAACTAATCGCAAGGAACAGTACGAATCAGGATGCGGAAAACATGATCAATTGATCTACAAGATGCCAAGAACTGAAAAACCACAAGAAGAAAGCTTTGAGAGTTTGTAGCTAGACTTGCCTAGCCTATTGGAGTTAAGTAATATTTTTGAACCAGAAGATGTACCTTGTTAACGCAACGATAGCCCCAGACCAAAGAGGAGTCGAGAGAGGTCTCGTTTTTGCGTATTTTTTTATTTGTCAGCAGAGGCTGAAAAACCAGACACTCATGAGATTCACTCAATAAAAAAGGAAAATTCAAGAGGTTTCAATCTAAGTTTACAATTTATTTGAAGAATACAAATCATTTCAAGTCAAACTTGTGATCAAGTCGAGCCCAATACTCCTCTTTGTCTTAATAGCAGCAATGGCAGCATTAACATCTTTAAGAACAACATCTCCTCGGTAGAGAAGACAACAAGCCATATATTTTCCATGTCGAGGGTCACATTTAACCATTTGATTAGCTGGTTCGAAGCAAGCATTTGTTATTTAAGAAACAGTTAACTGCTCATGGTAAGCTTTTTCAGCAGAGATAACAGAAGCATAAGTAACTAAGGGAAATGAATACGAGGGTAGGGGACAAGATTAGTCTGAAATTCAGTTAGATCAACATTCAATGCGCCATCGAATCGGAGGGATGCCGTGATTGATGAAACAATTTGGCCAATAAGGCGGTTGAGATTAGTATAAGTTGGCCGCTCAATATCAAGATTTCGCCGGTATATATCATAGATAGCCTCGTTATCTACCATGAAAGCACAATCAGAGTGCTCAAGAGTTGTGTGAGTAGTTAAAATGCTATTATAAGGTTCAACGACAGCAGTAGACACTTGGGGGGGGCGGGGTAAATAGCGAATTCCAATTTAGATTTTTTCCCATAATCAACGGATAAACGTTCCATAAGAAGTGAAGTAAAACCAGATCCAGTTCCACCTCCAAAACTATCGAAAATCAAGAAACCTTGAAGACCGGTACATTGATCTGAAAGTTTCCTGATACGGTCAAGAACCAAGTCGACAATTTCTTTGCTAATTGTATAGTGGCCACGAGCATAGTTATTGGCAGCATCTTTACCAGTAATCAATTGTTACGGATGGAATAATGGTAGGTACCAGTTCTAACCTCATCAACTACAGTTGGTTCTAAGTCCACGTATACAGTCCGGGGTACATGTTTACCAGAGCCAGTCTCAGAGAAGAAGGTGTTAAACGAATCATCACCACCTCCAATGGTCTTATCACTAGGCATTTGACCATCAGGTTGAATACCGTGTTCGAGACAGTATAATTCCCAGCAAGCATTGCCCATTTGGACACCAGCTTGACCAACATGGATTGAGATACATTCACGCATTTTGATAGTTTAAGGAATTAAGATAACTTTCTCAAAAATTAACTAGAAGTAATAAAAAAAGAGAGAAAGAGAAAAAAAGACGTTAGAAAATTTCAAGTGAAAACGTTAACTATTAAAGTTAATAACGAGAAAACAAAAAAATCAACGTGAAGTTAAAAGGTTAAAGGCAAATGGGCGAAATTAACGTTGATGACAACAGATCACAATGAATAAAAGAAATAAATTACCGGTTAAATCAAAGAGTAGGATAACCTGTAAGGAGTAAGGATTTACTGATAGAAATCGTAGTAAAATGTTTTTGAAACTTTCACCTTTCAAGACAAAAAGCTCATACAAGTAAGTTTCTTGAACTGAAAATGAACTAAAAAGATATTTTAATTAACCTCGGTAACGTAAATAGTAATCACGTAACCGAACTAAATCTGGCCATTCTTGGAGTACTGCACTGCATTTCAAGCGAGCAAGGTGTTCAACATTCACATTTAATCTCGCTCTTGTGAAAGATTCCCCTGTTAAGGGAAATCTTGCAGCATCCAGAAGTGTCTGCAATTGTTCGTATTTAATGAGCTGAGAAAATTTGTTCGTAAAGAAACGACTACCCAAGTGTTGACAATAATATAAGTTGCAACCAGTTTCATTAACCAGATCACGATGCAAAAGCTCATAGGAACAGTAAATACTAGGATAATCACCCCATAACAACCTCGTTTTGAATAGAAAACAGTCGCCATCTTGAAGAGTATCCATGGCGCTCTCTTTGGTATTCCATTGATGCCATGTCAAACCCCGTCTTTCTCTAAATAATTAATACAGAGAATTTTAAAAAACTCAATGACAAAGTTACATAGCATTCATAAATAAATAAATAAATCATTTACTGATCAAGGAATTCGGCGTTATAGAAATGGATACTGCGCAGAGGAGCTGTATTTTGAAAGTCTATACCATATTGATATCCAACTGGAATGCCTGTGTATGCTGATAACTATTGATAGAGATATTAATTAGAAATAATTCATTTCATTATCTTTTCTTTTGACTCACCTGATGATGCACTTGTTTCCTGTAATCGAAACTTTCATTTGACCAATCAATTGTAATGTCATGATAATCCTCATCCCAGTGTCTCACTTTTATCGTAACTAAACATAAAGAAACATTTATTTTAAAATTGAATTGAACACACAAACGAAACTCACTTTTATCAGGAGTATTATTATTTTCATTCATTTTAAAGCCAAAAGTTTATAAATTTGGGTATGGGTTATAAATAAATTAGCTCAATAGATTAACATTGAGATCCTCATCTAAGCAAGAAAATTGATGACCAAAAGTAGATCATTTCTTGTGTGTAGGAAAAAGGCGATCTCTTTGTCCATAAATGTCTCTCAAAACCAGTTTGTCAAGCAGATTCGCCGTGATTTCAAGTTTTGAATGTTTCTATGGATGTAACCTAGGTGACTCTCATGACCTCAAATTTGAATTATTATTATGTCAAGTACATCTTTTGGTTCGATATAAAAATTGTGACTTTTTTGTTATTACATTATTTATTTATGTGGCCAATAATAATATATTGAGAACACGATAATATTTATTGCATTGACTTAACAAATAAAAATGATAAAGGCTTAAACATAGTTTTCTTAAGTTGAGTTTCTTTGCATAAAGTTTTCACTGAGGCTAACGAATTTCTCAGAATTTTTATCAATGATTCTTATACTACTGAGTTTATTCAAGTCAATTTTGTATGTATATGTATGTATGAGGTATGTATGAATACTCATGGCTCATATGATACATATTTAAGAAATGTTGAATTTCTTTGAATCAACAGGCAAAGTGTCATCAATTATTTAGGTACCTCTATTGTCATTGTCATTGGTGGTAAACTTTTCAGAATCAAAATTTCCATCAATTATCATCATTTGCTCAACTTGTGTCGAATCAAATGTAGATTTGAAATTTTAGAGCCGCTTTTAACAATGCCTGTGTTATGTTATTGTTTTATCATAGCTTGAAAGTAAAACGACTAAGAGTTGGTAATTCAAATCGTCAAATGTTTTTTTTTTGATTTTAAGAAAAATTTTCGCAAAATTGCTTACAAAATTTGTCACAAGTTCTGAATAAATAAAAAAATTAAGTGAATAGATTAGCAAAGAATTGCTTAAGATTAAATTTAAATTCACATGCGAGCAACACATGCACGGCAGGCACACTTGAAGAAGTAGCGATCCATTATCATTGCTTGTCTTTCTCTGTAACCCAAACGGTCCTTGCCTGGTCCATAAGTGATGGTGATTTCATCGCCGACTTCAACGTCTCTGTTTGTGGAAATGACCATCCGATTACCAATGAATGTTCTGTTACAATTGTGATCACATGAATGATTTATAAATGAAGATGCCCCAAACAAACCAGCTCCAATCTCTGCCCTGCTATTTTTAGGACTTACAAAGTCATCGTTTTCCTCATCTCTCTTTGTATTGTCTGATATCAATAATGAGTTGACTCTGATGATTGCTAACAATTTAAGCATTAAACCTCCAAAATCATCTATTAGCTCCTCATCTATGAGTCCAAGTGAACGAACGAAAATGGTTAAAAAAGCAGCTGTAAATGTACCAGTTGTCATAAATTTGTCGATTAGATGGTCATGAGATATAAGTGTCAATATGTCCTTCAGTCTTTTACGGTAAACCCTGTAAAACAAAAAAAAAGGATGAATTTGAAACAAAAATTGTACAATGAAAAATGTGCTAACAGTTTGTACTTACATGCGAGCTTCAACGGGAAATTTCTGCTTCGACATAACCTCATAATAAGCCTCGATAGATTCTTCTATTCCATTCATAAGAACGATTCTGAGTGCAAGATGAGCATTGGCAAAATATCTTAAAACGGGCATATATTTACATTCAATTCCATGATACTCTTTCCAAGCTTCTTCATAACATTCTTCATTACAAAATCTAAAATATTTACAATATCTGCACGGGAAAGGCTGATCATTTAAGGATTGCATACAATGAGCACAGTAAATGTCATAGTAGGATGGAGCCAACCAATAAGCATAGGCTTTCTCGGAAATTACAGATATATTTTTAGGAATAGGAGCTGTGGCCACTATATGACGTCCTAGCCTGGGTTTGTAGGCCATTTTCAATGATGCCACAGCCCCATGGATATTAGGATTGTTAAAAACATTTTCTAGTCCATCCTGTGCAGGTTCATAAACACTACTGTCAAATACATTTTCACGTATTTCATCGACCAGCAGCTCTCTGGCATCAAACAACGATCGAACAAATGCAGGATCAACGGCATATTTAATGGCCAAGTCCAGGTCAGCCAAGCTTTGTTCATATCTATTCTGCATGTTAAAGATTCGACATCGATTGGCTAAAATCATTGAAAACATATTTCTATATTTCATGGATCTAGTTATATCCATATCTTGAGGGTGAGGGCAAATTTGTAAGCTCTAAACATTTAAAACAGAATAAGCAAAGTTAGATAAAGCAAGGTTGTATAAATTGAATATTCTGATAATTACCCTGTTAAATGTCTCTAAAGCTTTTTCGAAATTTTTCAATTTTAAAAATCTGAGGCCAAGGCTGAGGAGAATGTGAGATGTTTCAACGTTTTTATGCTCTTTCCTTTCACAAACATTGATCATTTCTTCAGAGGCTGTTTCCATCCCTGTTCGTAAACTATCAACGCTAACAATTAAAGTTATGCGATCAGCTAGTGTTGGTGCGTCACAAATTTCGTCTACCAGATCGGGGACATCTTTGGCTTCTTCGATAAACTGCATAATCCAGTTTGATAAAAGTGACCAATCACGAAGGGCCAACTGGTGTCCTTTGGATTCGTCAAATTCCTCCTCGAGAGAGGCACTGATTTTAGCAAATTCATCAACGATGTTTGGGCAGGAACTTGCTGCCATTTTGGATGACTTTTAAAAATAAATGTTACAAGTAATTTAAGAACAAACACAATAATTTAAGACACAATTATGAACAGTCTACATACAATGAACTTTAAAAAGTAAGTAACAAGCAAACATATTGATTGTAAAAGAAAGGGTCAAGAGTGCTACCATTGGATAGTTATTCACATTAAATTAAAACAATGAAGCACCATCTATGATTGTTAATTGTATAATTGCATATCTTGCTATTAAATTACAAAAAAAAGTTTCAATAAATGCGAATTTAATTTTCATGAAAATTGTACATTGAAATTGACATTACAAAGTATTTACAAGTGAGCTAGTTGATGTAAGTTGAATGCAAATTCTAAAGAAAAAAACAAAACAGATAATATATAAATGAATAATTCCCTCAATTTTCATTGCAGATATCTTATTTCATTAGATGGAGTGCGAAGGACAGTTGATGGCGCGCTTTGATTTGGTTGCACAAGTCTGACAACTTTGTAGCCAGTTCGAGGAAGTTGAATACTTTTAGAGACTTGCGATGACAGATTGATGGTTGCTCTGGGACCTGCTGTGTGAGTCGTTTGAGAGATGAAGGTGGCATGAGAAGTACCGAGGTTTTGATTAGTTGTTTGAGGGGTGACTGGGTTAGCAGCAGTACGAGATCTCACAACAGCTGTATGAAGATAGGAACCTAAGAAACCAAATTCGGATCTGTAATCTTCCAATACATCGGGAGGAGGTCTTGATGCCTGTTAGGAAAAAGAGTTATGATGGTAAAAAATATATAATTATGAGGTTTTCATAAACAATCAATATACGGAAAATATTTGACAGATACCTTAATTGTTGCCGGTAAAACTCTGAGAATTAAATTTTTGATATGCTCAGCGGCTGATTTCTCTACGGAGCTTCCACCTCCTTCCATGATTACTCGTATTCTTTCTCCTATAGCTTTTAATCTTTTCAAAATGAATGCTCTTTGCACTTCAGGTCCTAATTCACAAAGACCCGATAAAGCTCCGTACTGAGATGATAGAGGAAGTTTGTCGTTATCCAAGGCACGGCTTAAAAGTCTGGTTATCCTGGTTTGAATATTATTGGTTGAAGTGTTGAAGTTTTTACATATTTGAGCAAGCAGTCTTGATGCGAAATCTCTAAGCGCCCAATGATTATCCAAGTCTGGCCGAAGACAAAGTTGTTTTGAAACTATACAGGTGATTACAGTGGGAATGAGCTCGTGAAGGTATTTTTCTAAGTAAAGTGTTTGATTGTCCAAAAGAGCTTTAACCATTCTCATAAGGTAAATAAGAAGGGCTAAATTATTTTGCACGACATTAACTTTAACACCTTCTAAGATGAATGTACACAATCTAGGAAGCATTTGATGCAGACCAGAATCATATGTTAGACTCTGTAAAGCTTCAGAACGGCGTCCTTCGTCACTTCCAACACATGCTTCAGTTATTTCTTTGTAATATAGCTGTTGTTCAACACTCAACTCATGAGTGGCATATTGTTTAACTCTAACCATTTCAACATGTTTTTTCCTTTTCTCTAATTCAATATGACCAGTTCTCAATTCCTCTGGATTTTGTTTCAATGCAGATGCAGGATCAATACTTTCTTGTCTTTGAATGTCTTTTGAAACTGGCGGTGGATTTTCAGGTATTGCCGGTTGTATCCCTTCAATGCTTAACCAATGAGCCTTAAGAGCTAAATCTTGTGGTAGTTTGGGTAAAATGGTCGAACTGATAACCTAAAATAAGATGAGAAATTACCAGACCATCAATAAGAATACTAGTAATTATGATATAAAATTACAAACCTCGCCTAAATCAACTTCTTTATCATCAATAAAGAAAAGCTCTCTTCCACCTCCAGAAGCAAATCTAAATGGTATATGATCATTGGAGGTAAACCCATACAATGGTTCGATGTTTTTAATTTTCAAGGCATTATCTATATCACATCCAATGAGCTTTTTTCTTTTAGAATGTCCGCGAAATTTATTTGCCTCTTGTAGGATTAATTTCAAGCGAAAAGTGACCTCTTCAGCCAATACACGTGAAGCGTCATCGGATAGATTGCTGATTCCAATGGATTCGGCCATGATTTTCATGGAATCCAAGGCGGATAGGAAACCTGAACTAGAAGACATTGTGCACAAAGTATCAAAGTACAATAGTAAACAAAATAAATGAAGAAACAATTTCCCGATTGACTATAATGTTTTGTTGATATTTTATTTGAAAAAAAAACAAATGAAAAGAAATAAAAAATTTTATTGACCAGATTAAGAAAAATACCAAAATGATAGATGGAGTTACTTTTTCATCTTGTCTTATTTTTGAACCTCGTAAGTGAAGACTCTCATATTTGAACAAGAGATAGCTTTGTGTGAATTAACTTCTTTTCCCTCTTTTAATCTCTGCTTAACAGTTGTGTGCTTTATGCCGTAGCGCCATCTCCTGTTCTATGTACCCGAATCGTTCAGTTGAGAGGGAGTTGAATTTATTGTTGTTTCATTTTAACCAACAACCTATCAGGATTGGCTATTTTTGCTACGTCTCCATAGTTACCATTTTGAAAGTAAGTTTTGGCAACTTGCAACTTCTTTTCCCGTCTTCTTAAACCAACTTCATTGTTTCTTTTAATCAATTCGTGTGTTCATTTCAAATTGTCTTTACTTAAATTTACTTAAATTTTTAACAACCTTCCATCACCTTGCCCTGTGTTAATGCACACCTTTTAATTGGTTTTTATATTCATCGAGTCATCTTAACTATCATCAATGGCTTCGACCGTTAATGTGAAAAATCGTGTTCTCGCTGAGTTATCAAATGCCGTGCCCAATGACAAGGTTAAACGTAAACCCTTGGCCACCATAACTGCCCCAGTTGCCATCAGCAAGACTGAAAATTTGGAAAACGTGTGTCAAAAGGCTAAGGTCGATGGAAAAAAGAAGGCTTCTTTCTGTGAAAAAGAAAATGAAGTTGTTGAAAAACTTGCTAAGTTGAAAGAGGTAAAGGAGGTAAAGGATGTTAAAGATGTTAAAGAACAGAAAGAACAGAAGGAATTCAAAGAACTGAAAGATCTTAAAGGAGTTAAAGATGTGAAGGAATCCATAGAAGTCAAAGAGGAGGTCAAAGAGGTCAAAGATGTTAAAGATGTTAAAGAGGTGGTAGAGCAGATAGTCGATGATGCTGTTAAGGAAGCAGTTAAACTCGAAGAGGTGAAAAAGGTAGAAGAGTTAAAGGATGAGCAAGTAGTGAAAGATTTGGAAGTTGAAGAAAAGACAATAATTGACGATTCAGAATCAGAAATCATCGACAAAGAGAATGTTGAAAATGAGATGCTTTCACCCTGTAGCAGCGATGCCTCTATCGTCGAAGAAGTCACATCTCCGTCTATTGACGATTCATTCGAACCTCATGAAGATGACTGGTGCTTCTCTAAGATGTTATTTTTAAGAGTCTTGGAATATGAAGAAGAGATCCAAAAATATTTGTTGAGACTTCAAGTCAAACATCGTGCTGATCCCGGTTATATGGCTCGACACAAACCTGAGATCAATGAGAAGATGAGAACTATTCTTGTTGATTGGATGACTGAAGTTGTTGAAGAGTATAAAATGAACTCTGAAACTTTGTTTCTCGCTGTAAATTTTATTGACCGATTCCTATCTGCTAAGAATATTGCCCGAGCCAAATTCCAGCTTCTAGGTGTGTATTCTTGATTTTTGACTTCCACTTTTTCAAATTTATTTTTGAACCTTGGATGTTTAACAACGTTTTTCTTCATTTTAGGAACTGCTGCATTATTTATTTCTTCTAAATATGAAGAGATTTACCCACCAGATATTCATGAATTCGTTTATATTACTGACAATGCATATGAGAAATCAGAGATCTTAGCTATGGAAGCAAAAATTCTTCAAGTTTTAGACTTCAATGTTTCTACTCCAACGGCTGCCTACTTTTTGCGAAAACACCTCTACTCAATAGGGTTAGAACTTGACTTACCACAAACTGTTGGTATTATGGCAGAGGTTTGTATTTTCTTTTACATTTATTTTTTTTTTGAATTTGAATAGTTTTTTAATCTATATTTATTTTTTCATTTCTAGTATCTGTGTTATATTGCTTTATTAGAATGCAATCCAAGTACTAGTTACTTACCCAACGACATTGCAGTTTCGGCCATTATTCTATCAGCCAGTTTGTTTGGTATTAAAATAAACTTATCAGGTGAGACTGGGCAGGTATTTTTCCCTGGTTTCACTGCAGAACAACTTAAAGCTCATATCGTGGAACTTCAATCGTGTATTGATACTCTACATCATTTAAGAAAATCAGTCAAAGTCGAGAATGATGCACTTTTCAAGTCTGGAAAGCCACAACAAGCTATATTCAGCAAATTCGCCCAAGAAAAGTAAGTAGTCCTTGCCAATCTATTAAATTGACTTTTAATCTACAATTCTACAATCATTTTCAATTTTCAGGTATTATTCTGTTTCATTATTGGACATTGGTAGCCAAGAAGCTCCGAAATTACTTTTGTAATTTATTTTTATTTAAATACTTAAAACTCAATACTCTACTCTAGCATTTCTACATAAATTTAATAACGCAATTCTGATCTGCTACTATTATTGGCCCAAGCATCATACGATGGATCATTCCCATTTTATTTAACCACAAGTCGAATAATGTATTCATTGATTCATATTTATTGATCTATTTGACCTTGATTGCCTGGATATCATCAATTATAATAAAGCCAGAAGAATATTTAAATAAATTCTGTTGAATCATTTTAATTATTTAACAATCAAGTAATATATGCAGCAATGGAAGATGGCTTCTCTCTTCTTGAAACTTAATTCAACCATTTGATTTCTGCAATTTTTTTACCATTAAGTATTTTAATTATTTCCATTGTTTTACTAAGTTTGCATTTTCTCATCCATATAAATAATTCTGTTTTAATTTCTCGAAATACATTGACAATGTTCAAGTACAAACTATTGAAGTCTACTTAATTAAACATATCAAGTCACCCCAATCGTTGTCTGATTATCATAGTCACTGGTAACTTGAAATATACCTCAAATTTATTCAATGGATACACATTTGGATCGCTCTCATTGGCCTAATTGAGATTAGACACAAAGTTAGCATCCAAACCATTTAGGCCAGGGTTAGGCTGTTAATTTCAATCTTGTTCATTGATCAAGTGTTGTAACCATAATGATTTAATGAAAACGGAAACATTACATTTCTCTCTTCCTCAAATATTTACCCTAACAATGATTCATTGTCAAATATTTTTAATCACCACCATGATTATGATGATCCCTCAATAATCATTTTTATCACTGAAATAAAACCGAAATGCTATTAAAAGGATTTTTAACCCTTGAAATGTGAATCTTGTTTCCAAATTCTCAGTTCTTATCTATGATTAGTTGATGAACAAGCAAATTCATCTCTTTATTCAAATCAAGACAAATATAAATTTGATGCACATTTAGCATACACTTTTCAATTGGCCAAACAATGGGCAAAGAAAAAAGCGTGAATCCATTGAAAGTAACAACTGAACATTAAATTGTTGCCTTTAGCTTTCAATCTTTTTTTATTTGCTAATCATAATTAACTGCTTATTCAATTCTTACTTTGATAGTTAATTGATCTTTTTCAACATTATTATAATTATTAATGGGTCGAAGGTAAAAAGCAAAGTAAAGTAGCAAAAGCTCTTCTTCTTGCTTCCACAAACATCACAACATAACTTGTTTAACCATTTTCTCAATTTTCAAATTTTTCTCTCTCTCCCTCTCTCTCTCTTCTTTCGCCTTCTGCCTTTCTCTTTCTTTTTATCTTCCTTATCATCAACTTTCTCTCTTTTTCTCTCACTCTCACGACCTAAAGCACGTAACTTTGAACATTCCCAGTCGTTTTTAATGCGTCTTCCTTCCGAGTGAAAGTTTTCGTCCTCCTTTTTGTTTCTATCCAGTCTTTCACTCTTCAGCCAACCCTCATCATCAGCTATCTTAATCATCATCATCATCATCATCATCGCCATCATCACTTTTGTTACCTTCTAGGTTTGATAACAAATCAGTCTGATTGGGAGATTAAAGTTGTTCACAATCAGCAGATTAACGTTTCCCTTAACCATTTGTTTTGACTCTCACAGAGTGTCTCATCCTTTGAGTCATTGTCAATCCATTTTACTGTTGTGGGTAACATTTAAAACCATTGAAATCATCATTGCTTTACCAAAATCCTATTACAAATCAACTATCAAAATTAGCTGCTTCAGTTAACGTTTTAACTACTATTTAAAACCATGAATCTATTTGATTATATGATGTGCTTTTTTGTCTCTAATTGTATCCGACCAATGCCTGAAGGACCTCATCAAGTTCATCTTTCCCTTAATGGTAAGTTTATAATTTCCTATCAATACTAAACCTCAACCTCACCAGGACACTTTAGCTTTTATATTTACCTTATATTTTTCACATTAGAATTGCTATTTCAATTCAAAATGTTACAATTTCAAATTCAGTAAAATATGAAAAACAAATTGTTGTCATGAAGATTATCAGTAAAAATACAAACCAATGACAGCAAAAAAGCAAAGATTGAAATCAAGTTTTTAAAAATTATTTACTCAAAGGATTTATCTTATCAAATAATCGACTTATCTAGTAATGACTATTAACATACACAATCAGCAATCACTAATGATTAACATAAACATTAGACCAATATGAATAAAAGTCAAGTGAATCAATCAACTAAAAATACATTTCAATGGAAATTACCTTTTCAGATGTTATAAGCAAACAAATCAAAGCAAATGGTTAGACTGACAAGCAACAATGATTATGATGTAATGTTATTTAAAAATTGTTTAAATTGTTGATTGCAATAAATTCAATTGAATTGTCCATTAAAAACAAAAGTCAAGAATGAAATTCAAAAGCCAACACAAAACAGTCCAACACTTGTCAACTTGAAGATTAACCAATTGATTACTGATTGATATTTAACTTGGCAAATTGTTGACAATCAAACAAGTTAAATCAAAAGACCTTGATTTATTGACAAAAATATATTAACAGTCAACAAACTTGACCGAATTGCCGTAAAATTGAGTTTTCACTGGTAAAGATGATCATAAATCAGGTGCAATTTAGATGCAATTGATGCCAACAATCAATATTTTAATGTTGATTCTATTTAATCAAGGTCAGCACAAAGTCCAATCAACAATCAAATCAATTGATTTGCTAAGGCTTTCACAGAAATCATTAATTCCATATCATGATTAGTGATTTCAATTGACCATTTCATTGCGTTAACACACAATAGTTACAATTATTAATAAATTCAATTGAGGTGACAATCAAATTTTGAAAAGCCAACAATCTGTGCTTTTTAAGGTTCATTTTAAAAATGTTTCAACTTATTCACTTGAACCTTTTTTTTGATTGTGATGACCTCAACAATTAACTGACAATCTTAAACCAGTTTCCGTATATTAAATTGTTTTAATTTTTGTTTACTTTCATAAACATTTTCTGTATACAATTTGAAAATTGCTAATCTAAATAACGTCGAAGGTTAAGAGCACCTTAATTGTAATAACTTCCGAGTTGAGAGTTAACCACCTTTAACTGTCATCATTAACATTATTTAATGTAACTAATGTTATTTGATTTACTTGTTTCATTTTCAGGACATTTTACTTTACGAGTATAAAGTAAAATATAGTTGATTGATCTTGATTATCAGATAATTTTATACTGTATTTACCTTTTCACTCTTTATTGATGAACACCAATAACTTTAAGCTAAATTAAATTGAATCTATTTTACAACAGAAAACAATATTTTACCAAACAATCTATTGAATGGTAAATTGGTTTGATTACAATTTGTTTTGTCTCAATTATGTCCTTGATTGAGGTGCATTCATCTTGATAATGAATATGAGTTTACTCATTTGAATTTGAGTTTGAAAATTTAGGGTAACAGTTTAGACGGTTTCACTTTCTTCCTGCTTTTATCATTATTAATCTGGATAACCATCATGGTGAATGATTATTGATGTGTGTTATAATCAAGGCTACAAGTTGTTAGTTGAACTTCAATCTTCAGATTGTTAATGTTTAATAATTTTTCTAAACAGATGAGGCAACATCCATAACTGTCAGCTGGACTGATTTGAAACCTTTCCAAGAACCAACAGTTAAATGGGGATTAGAAAGAGATCAATTATCTAATCAATCGGGTGGACATTTAAGACGATTTGGTTCCTTTGGCCGTGATATTTTTAGCTATTGGGCTGTAATGCGCAATCTAGAACCTGACACAACTTATTGTAAGTTAATTGGTTGCCCGATCAAAGATTGGGGTGACATTTAACCTCTAATGTTTACATTACTGTTTTATCTTTTAAAGACTATCAAGTTGGTTCTAAGAGTCGGCTAAGTCCCGTTTATAGCTTTAGGACGTTACCTTCTGGAACCAATTGGTCACCTAGAATAGCTATTTTTGGTGATCTCGGACTTAAAAATGGTCAAGCCATTCCTGTTCTTAACAATCGCTCTGTGTCTGGTGATTTTGATTTGGTCGCTCACATAGGTAACGATTTCAATGTTCACCTCTTATCTTTTCTTATTTCAAATATCATTTTATTAATTTATATTTAATTTGTTTTTTTCCTTCACTTTTGTTCTACTTTTCAGGAGACATTGCTTATGATTTATATTCAGTTAGTTGATTTAATATCTTTATACAAGTAGTTTCAATGATCTTATACAATTACCTTATTCAATTTTCATTAATAGAGCCATGGGATTATTGGTGATGAATTTATGCAAGCCATTGAACCAATGACATCTTCTGTTCCTTACATGGTTGTTCCTGGAAATCATGAATATCTTCCCATCATTGGGTAATTAATGTTTAACAAAATCAGCGCAAAAGTTTTAACTTGTATTATTTTGTCTTATAACAGAGATTCTGGTGTTGCTTATAAATATCGTTATAAAATGCCTGGTGAATCTAATGACATGTATACATTTACTGTGGGACCCATACTTTTCATCACAATATCAACTGAATTTTATTATTATCTGGAAGGTGGAGGAGCTAAAAAGGTTGCAGAACAGAGAGATTGGCTTGAAAATGTTTTAACAGAAGCCAATCAACCTGAAAATCGAGCAAAACATCCATGGATAATTGTGCTAGGACATAGACCTTTTTACTGTTCAAGTTCAAGGTTTGGTCGATGTCCAGGAGGAACAACTTGGGTTCGTTGACTTTTAATCGTATTTAACAGACTAATTGAATGTCAAAATGTTAATTTGATTTTCTCCTTTTATTCTATGGTTCAAAAGATACGTACTGGGTCCAACTATTTGGGTAAAGGATTGGAAGACTTGTTTTACAAAGGAGGTGTCGATCTTGTCTTTGGTGGACACAATCATCAATATGAGCGAATGTATCCCGTCTATGATCTAAAGGTTTGTTAAAATTCCGCTCATTCAACAACCAGTTCAAAACTTTGAACTCAATACTCCAATTATCACTTTAATAACTTTATGCTTACATTCAGATAAGTGGATCATCGACACCCTACCTAAACCCAAATGCAACAACTTATATTATATCAGGATCAGCGGTAAGAAAATTTAATTTTCCTTTTGAATTTATTGAAATTGATTTTAATCTTTTAATTTTAATTTTCTTCCATCCAACCAGGGTAATCAAGAAGATTTAGATGGTTTTAAGGAAGATCCACCGGTTTGGAGTGCCTTTAGAAACTCTGAATACAGCTATACACAATTGACTGCTTTCAATTCAACTCACTTGATGCTACAACAAATCTCTGTACCTAGTGTAGGTTTCTTAATGATTTGTCGCAAAAATTTAAACTTCGATTAATTTTACTATTTCTATTCTTTTTAGGAGACCGTAATTGACTCTGTGATAATTACCCAGCGAAACCACCGACCTTTTGATCAGCCATAGATGAAAATCACAAGCCATTTGCCAAAGAAATTAAATTTTTACTATTTTTTCAAGCCAAGTGATTTTTACGTTATTTGCTATAAATATCGGTATTTGTCATTTTAACCGATACAAGGATTCAAATTGAAAGACATTCCTTCAAAGATCTCAAATCTTATTTTATACATTTGAACATAATTTTTACAATGTTAATCTATCTTGTTACCAATTTTATATTTCATGTTGTGACGTTTTTCTTACCTTTGTTAATCATTATTATCTCAATTTGAAATAAAACCGAAAGAAATTAAAAGTCAGTACATTTGCAAAAGCGAACTCCTCTTTATTATAGTCTACATAATTTCTGTATTTTTTTACAAATATTAATTTCATTCATTTTTGGACCAAAATCAAAACATAATATCAGAGATTTCAAGTCTCTTATTCAATTTTACACATTAATTGAGTAAATAAAAGTTTTATTTGAGAGTTATTCTTTTTTTTGCACTTCAGTTCCACTCTAAAGATTATTTTATCATTTCCGATGATTAATTTGATTTACATGTACTTTTTTGTTGTTTGGTTCACAAATCAACTTTTGAGAAACACTGAAAGAGGTTAAGATGAAGTTTACTCAATAGATATCATATGGAAGGGTAAATTGATTATTCCAATGAGATGAGTAAACCCAAGGGGACAGGAAAACAAAGAGTGAAAAGGTCAAGAACAGTTTCAGGTAAATCATCATGGATTGATTAATCAGTGACACTATAGAGAAGATTAATTGGCAATCAAAAATAATCAACACCACGATGAAGGAGAACATTATTTACATTGAAGAAAAGGAAAGAGTTTTTGAAGCTTTTCAATTGATATTCCATACAAACATCATTGTGCTAAGTTTGTATGTTTGGTTTGCAAGCAAAAGGATTAAATTCAGATGTTAACTATTATATTTTTTGGTTTTTTATATTGAATAAATTTCAACAGTTCAATGCTGAAAGAGTAAACTTATCCAATGAATTGACTATTGATGAGCACAATCTTATTAAAGATTTGGTGAATCAAAAGATCTAGATTTGATTTGTTGACAAACCAAAGAATCTGATTGACCGAAGATTCATATTTGAATTACTATTACCATGATTATGAACCCTGTCAACAAGCAAGTTTAAGGGCTCCACTTTTTTTTGAATTCAAGTATGAGATATAAAAAGAACCATTAATATTGCAGATTGTCTCCTTTATTTTTGATTTTTGGTGATCAGGAAGGAGACGCAATAATAGGATGAATTAAAAAAAACAAGGGATCAAATGATTAACATTTTGTGCGAAATAAATGTAAGAAAAGAGAGAAAACAATCAAAATATATCTTACTAGTTGAGGTAAATTTTGATATACCTCGGATGTGATCAGCAATGAATTCGTTTGTCAGTTGTGATTTCTTTCAGATAAATATAAATTGAATTTCAAAGACATTGCATATTGATGAGGTTGTTGATGATGAAGATGAAATTGATAAAAAAATGAATAAAATAAGACGAATTGAAATAAGTAAACAACCCAAAATAATTGTCAGCTCAATTTTCAGGGCTAGGATTTGATGAGAAAATTGAGATTGTACCATGTTAAACGACAACTAATCAATAGATGATCCTTTTTGTTTGTTGATGAAAACGACAATGATGATGGTGGTGATACAGATGATACCAATGAGCTGGATATGATTGGGCTCCCTTTAATCAACATATTCAGATGAAAAGAGATTGTTTCAATGGCTTGACCATTAAACAGACAAAGAAAGAAAATGTATAACATCCCATTGACTATGATTTGAATACTTTTGGTAGCGCGTTTTCTTTCTTTCCATCCTTCTTTTTTTGGTTCAACAACGATTTAGTTTGATTAGCAAAAACTAATTTGAAACTATGGAAGTACATATCTATGTTTTTAAATTTGATTGAGGTCAGAAGAGTTTATGATTGCGATGAAATGATGTGTATGTGGCATCTCAGATGCTCTTTACACAGACAAGACCAGGATTTTCGTTTTGGCTTGTTTATCAAATTGAAATATCGGAACAAACTGGAAAATGATAATCCCTGTGGAAAATGAATTAAATCAGGAATAGAACGAAAGACAATTCTTCGGGTATAATAATTTTCTTTTGTAGTTATAATGCTTGTCAATCCTTTTTATCAGGCGTTTGTCTCTCAATACCCTTTCCTAGAAATGTACGTATTCTAGGGTCTTTTACTTTCCTCCTTCATCAGGATCTTTAAGGGAATGCCATTGTGCAATTGGTCGTCTTGGTGAGGCTAACATATCCATCCAATGTCTTAATTCATTTCCTTGGCAGTTGGGGCCAACCTCTACCATACCGATTGGGTCACAAGTACCAATACGATCATAATCAACGACCAATATTTTCACTGATACTTTGTTTATCTGTTCAAAGGGTACCTCGAATTGGAATGATTCGTTGAAATATGGATTAAGTGTACATTTTTTAACTGAAGTCTTCTTCTTCTTGATCCTTTTACCATTCATCATAAGGGATATCTTTACGTATGGATCGGATAATCCACCCAAGTCCATCTTTTTCAAGTTCTTGGCCTCCAAAATGCATACAGTCAGCTTGCCCGAGGTTGGAACATATCGAAGAGAGAAACAAATATCACCAAGTTTCTCTGGACCCTCTTCTTCAACTGATTGAAGATCCCTCCATTCCTCAATAGTCTGAGCCAGGTCAATTTGATTCATTGGTATTCTAATCTCACCAATTTGATCATGCTTTGAGAATCTGTCATGAAAAAGATGTTTAATAGAGGATGAAAAAGATATTTATTAAAAGACATGATGAAAATAGTCATAGAGTTGAGTGGGTTATGGTTGAGTGGAAATGAAAGACCTTACAATATGAAAGTCTAAACATAATCTGAATGAGTTATACACCCAGAATTGTTGAAGACTACATTGTTATATCCACTCATAGTAAAATAATCAAAGATTTAAGTGTAAAAAACACGCTATAGCTTACCGATCAAAATCAAATACAGCTAAGATCAGGGTCTTGGTGATAATTTCATTGTAAGGAACCTTAAAGTTGAATGTTTCGTTGAAGACTGGATTCAAGGTCTTACGATGAACCTTGGTTTCAAATTTCTTCTTTTTATCCGGCAAAAGATAAACTTTAACATAGGGATCACTGGTACCGCCAACATCACATGCAGGCAGCTCTTCAGCTTGAATGATTGTTACAGCAAGCTGTGCGAAAACAAAAAGTTACAATTAATAAAAACCAGAAAAATAGATAAACATGATAAAGAATGAAACAATTAGCAAAAAATCGACCAAAACTTACATTATTATTATTGAAATCGTAATCCAGTTTAAATTGTAATCTACCCAACTTCTGCGACTCTTTTTCCTCTTTTCCAGCTTGTTCTTCCTCATTTTCTTCCATATTTGCAGTCAACTCATCCTGATCTGGTTGAACCTTTTCTTTACCCATAGTACCGATAAGATTGACCGATTTAAGATCGATACCTTTAAAATTTTTACCTCTATCTGACTCTTTGAATTTTTTCCACCACTTATTGAGACAAAAATAGAACAGAGCCAAAATGGTAACCAAAATTACTAACAAAATCAAGAGAATAGCAGCAAAAGGAATATGGGTTGCCGTCGAAACAGCTTGGACATCCTCTTTCATTATCTGCCATGTTGACTCGGTTGTTGTTGTGATAGCGGGACGAGAGGGCTTTGGGCTAGGTAATTTGCTGCTAAGCCGGTCCGAATTGGGTCGACGAGTAGTGGATGTTTCAATTATAGGTGCCATGGATGAGGTATGTTCAACGGTTTCTTCTTCTTCTTCCTCCTCTTCTTCAACCTTCTCTGCTCTTTTGATACGGTGAAGCAGCAAATTGTATCCATGATGAGAGGCTAATGGTGGCATATTGTTAGTAACCAATTATTAATAAACAGCTTAACAACCAATCAATTTAATTAGAAGCACCAAATTGATCTTTCAGGTTAGGGAAGATAAGATTAACCACAAGTTGCTAGAATTGTTAATGCTTGGCCGAAACAGAGAGATTGGATTGAAAAATATACACAGCCTAAGAGGTAAGAAAGAAACGAGGAAAGCACAGTTAAAATCAATATAAATCAATGGTCAATTTAAATTAAGGATAACTTACCAATGTAAATATAGATGATTTCAGCTGATTAATAAAAAATTCATTGGAGAAGAGGTTAAAACACAAAGGTTGTTTGGCCACCTTAACCTTCAAAGTAACGGTAGGAATAGAAAGAGACGAGAGAAAGGGAAAAATAGGAAACGAAAGAGATGAGAAGACAAATCAACAAGAAAAGGACAAAAAAGGGTTACAACATTATCAGTTTATCCTGATTGTTAATCAATTTACCTTTGCTAGCAGATCAATTGAACACTTTAACAATTATTATAATATATATTACAATTAAAGTTGAAATCTAAGTCGAGGTTGATTTAAATTGTTGAAACAAAAAAGGAAAGCCAGTGAAGTAAACAAGATTAACTATTAATAAATGTAGTTTCATATGAAGACCAATGGCTGTAAAATCTAGCAACCTTTGATTATGTAGGAGAAAATATCATTTACTTTAAAGCGCAATATCTTAATATCGATTTTTTTGTCTCTTTTACTGCTTTTACTGAGTAATAACAAATAAAACTGGGAGTGAATATAGACAAAAACAAAAAATCTTCACTGTATCTGAGCTTGGCCGCAGAATCTGAGGCAAACACGAGAAAATGTTCATCTTCTCCTTCAAGAAACATTACATTAAAAAGAGGAACAAGAGTAACAATGATAACTGGATCGATAAATTAATTCTTCCGTTCCAAATCTTATTCTAAATAACTGATCAATATTGAAACAAGGTAACCTTATAAGAAGATTGAAAGTGAGGTACAGAGAGGATAATGATTCCAAACTGATTAACAATCGACTCGACAATTTACTATTTATACTCTCTTCTTCATTAACATGCATTTATGGTAACATTGAATTGCTAGTTTGAATCGACTCAATTTCACATTAGGTTCGGAAGAGGGTGAAATGAACCCTTTTATCGGTAGTGATATAGTTTATTAGTTTATCCAAAATGATTACTCATCTAAAAAAATGTTTAATTGTGAAGTTAATTTACATGGAAGAGAAACGGGGAAACAGGATTGATTGGTTGAAATTGGAATATTTACAATTTGTTTGACGATCAATTTGAACATTTTACACCTTGATTAACAATCATTTCTAAACAATTAACCATTTTCACCTTGATTCCAGTCCAAGGGTTGGTTAAAATCAAGCTAAAACATAATAACTCGCAATTTTATTGGTTTTAAGGTTCATCAGTATCAATGTAATCTATCAACATTATTATTAATATCAGTATACTTGGAGTAGTCTAAGACAATTGGATAATTATATTTTACATTTGACTTTTGGATGTTGAAGTAAATCTTTTGAACGATGAAAATGGTACAATTGTTCCCTCTCATGGTATTGTTGTTGATTACAAGATTACAGTTTACTATTTAATTATTGTTTCTGTTGAAGCTCGGCGAGGGAAGTTAACATAATATTTGTAAAAGATAATGAAAATGTTGATGGAAAGGATGGCGAAAATGAAGTCGATAATGAATTTTAATGTTGCTTTGTTTTGTTGATGCAAGTCGATGATGATTATGATGATGGATGGTATTAACTTTTAACCATGTTTATTCACAACCAAGTTATTTGTTTATATCATTAAAAGTCTTATTATTGATGTCATGTTTACATGAGCAAACTCTCATGTTTTTTTCTTGCTGTGATGAGAAAAAAATGAGGACAATAGAGATGAAATGAAATAACCATATTAGAGAGTTTAAACTAGAATCTAAATAAATTATTGTTGGTTTTGAAGGAAAGACGATTGTAGGTATTGGTTAGTAGTTATTGTGAGTTTGGTAAAGGTGATAGTTGATTGAATAATTAGCTAATAGTAAGCTAAAATAAAGGGCGAAACATGTTTATAAGTTAAATAAATAAGCAGAGAAACAATTGGAAAAGGCATTTACTTTGGACTTAAGTCTTCATTTCATTTTCCTCTCCTTTCAAGTCTATACTTATTGGTTACTTTGTACAAATTTACTAGTAGCTGAATTATAATCAATCGATTTGTTGATTTAACTAAGGTTCACTTGTCAATAAAATCGATGAAAATTGATGTCAATGAAGATAATGACGGTGGCTGATGATGATGACCACAACATCATTGGTTATTGTACATTATTGATGGCAAATTTTGCAGATGGGAATAAAATTTCCGGCAGAAATAGTCTTTGGTTCCAAAGGTTTAACATGTATCCATTTTTTTGTTGATAACAATGATGAAGATGACCATGGTTAAACACACAATGAGTTTTCTTTGAATTGTTGTTTGTAAGATTTGTTCAGTCAACTGATTTTAAAATCATAATTCCATAAGCTCATCTCGAAGAAGATACTTTGTCCAGTAAAAGGCATTGAAAATGGCGAAAAGGAAAGGAAATACAATTCTAGATGTAACGTCAATCTTTTTTGAACGAGTGTGAAACCTCGACAGCCAATTTGAAAAGATACCTCGGTTAGGAGGCTTTTTTCGTGGTAACTTGGTTGATCCTAATGCTTTCGCATATCCAATAGGTCCATCCTCAACATCAGACGATTCAATTCCTGAATCCTTGGCGGTGTCAAACTTTCTTCTTGCACCAACAATTCCTTGAGGTCGACGACGCCGATGTTTATCAGCTTTAATAGTATCCGTTCGTGAAACATAATTGACAATGGCAAATTCAATGAGAGCACCAAAAACGAAGATTAAACAGCAACCTGTCCAAATGTCAACAGCTTTAGTGTAGCTGACTGGTGGCAGAGATGCATTGATTCCTGATATTTGACGTGACATTGTAAGTAGTGAGGTTACACCGAGTAAAACTCGAGCAGCTGCTGAGTTAGGGTCAATCCAAAATGAGACCCATGAAACAATGACCAACATACAACAGGGCACATAAATTAAGAACAAATAGTAGCTAAATTCACGTTTAAAAACTAATTCCACTTTGAGACAGCTGTATTCCCCTGTAATAATTGAAAGAAAAACCAATATTTTAGTTCAGGTTTACATTGAATTATTTTTGGTAGATAATAAGGATTCTGGCTACTCAATCAGCAAATGTTAAAGTAGATGAAGAAGCCATAACACTTACTAATCAGCTTTTGGCAAACAAATTACTCAAAAGTCAAAAAGTAGTTACATCTTAATTTATAATTTTATACAAAATGGTTTATATTAAATGATAAGGTATAGTTACCGGTGTTTGTTTTGCTTGTACAGTAACTGGTCAAATATTTCATTAGAGTGAACCTTGGCAAGTGAAGCGATTTGGTTATTTGAACTGGATCACCTGCTTTCCATAAGAAGACCAAATCTTCTGTTGTGTAACCATCTTAAATAGAGATTAAAAGATATCATAATTAAAACAAAATTAAATTAAATAAACAATTAATTTACTTACAACTAGCCATACTAATGGAACAATTTTGTATATCCAACGGAAAATACTTAAGATCCATTGGACAGAATAGATTGAGGGAAATACGAATTGAATAAAGTATATCACCATTAGGAAATATTCTTAACAAAACATTAGGCATGATGATATCATGGAAATGGCCATTTTTTTCATTTGAAAAAAACAAATCTGGTTTCCATAATTTTTCTGGATCGGTAAGAACCAGAAATTTAATTCTTCCTCCCATATCGTCAAATACAAGTCTACTGTCTCTCCACTCCTCTCTGAATGTTATTTGAGTTGCATATTCCTGTAAAATAATAGAAAAAAAATTAACAAATTGTAAAGCTTTAATAGTCAAAATGATAAAAGTAAGCTTACCATTGTAACATCATCAATACGAGATATGCTTCTAATATAGATATTAACTTTAACTATGCATGGCTCATCTGTAATGATAGGGAAAGGGTTAGTTGTTTTTTGTTGTGTGATCACTGGTCGGTTTACATACCTCCATCAACTGTGGCATTAGCACCAGAAGGTCTTATCCTTGGATCGTAAACTCCTTTACCAATTATCCTGTCGAGAATCTTTTTTTCAGCTTCTCTAAAACTAGCTGACCCACTGGAGAAAAGATAAGAATTTTTTGTTGAAAAATGTACAGTTTACAGTTTCAATGGACTTACTTTACAAGTGTAGAATAAGATGCAACAATTAAAACAATTGAGAATATAGTCGTCAATGGATCACTCATATTGACCAAATTAAGATAGTTAAACATCTAAATAATAAAAAGAGGAGAAATTATCATTTCAAGCTGGTCACAATTCAAAGGATTCATCCAGGAATATACAAAGCCTAACTTACATCAGAGCGCACTCTCTTTCATCGATTCTGGAATGAAGTTTGCGCTCTGTTTTTTTTCAAATTAATCATCACCATGATCAGATTATAATCCTTGATGTCCAACGTGTGTATCTCAATGCTGAAGAGATGAAGGAAGAAAGGTTAAATTCCGACTGCGATTCGACCGAGCTTAAATTAAAGTGTTGCGTTGCTCCATATCTCTGATGATTACTCCAATTGTCTTCGATGCAGATGAAAACCACCGAAGACGAAAAAAACTAGGAACAGGCGAAAGGAACAAAAATCTGAACAATTACAAGCAAATAAAATTACAGCTTTAAAACACTCTGACAGATAAACGTTTGTGGAGTTTTGAATTCATATTTTTCTTTATGGATTTTTTTTCATCCTCTTTAATATTAAATACGTTTCGTCAGAAATGCTTAAAATCAGCCTAAATTTTCACCAAGTATTTAGAATAACTGTTTCTTTTAAGTAATAATCAGTCTCTGAATTCACTTTTGCTTGATCCAGTTTGCTCAATTTATTAGAATCTTTAGTTAATTTTTTGCTTAAATTTCAGTGTAAATTGCGATCATTGACTTGTTAACATAATTATTGTGCACAAGAAACAAATTTAAACAAATAAATCCTTAATATTTGCAAAAAAATACGTAAAAAGATTCAGATCTTTTATTTTAATTATCATAAATAAATTAAGTTGATAAAATTTTAAGGCATAAGCAAAACAATTAGAATGAGTCTGACTGGTAAATTGGTACAATTTGGGACAAGTTAGTGGGATATCCAGTTATCGGACATTTTTCATTTTTTTGCACAAAATTGACCAAACATTCTTGGCAGAAGAGAAAACCAGAAGTCTTTAAAAGTACCTCATTTCGACGAGGCTGTGAACAGAGTGGACAATCGTTTGGTCGAGTATTGGGAGTTTCACGTTTCTTAGGGGCTGGTGGAATTGATAATGTTGAATACGATGATCTTGAGCTTTCTCGGGAATACCAAAAATCAATAAATTGAACAACCAAAGCAGCACTCGTCATCAACATACCAACTCCTTTTGCTATTTTTAATACCAACCCTCGTCTTTTCATGTCTCTTGGATCATTGCGAATCAACCTTAGTCCAAGTAGGTGAAATAGTGGGTGGTGTGTTTTGCTAACACTGACAGCATACTTAATTTGATACACTAAACAGCTCACCTCCCAAAGAGTCTTTAAGTAAGGATAATTGTTGACGAAATGGAATGCAAATTTATCAACATCTCTATTGAGTAAACCTTCAAATTGAATCCGAGACAGTTCATCATAAAACTTATCAAATTTACTTTTGAGGTATGAAAAAGAAGAAGTGACAAGCAAAGATGAAGCAATATCACGACTACTAAGTCTTGACGAGTCACACTTTACTCTTTTAAGATTATAAAAATGTTCACAGAATGAGGCACTGTATGAAATTAGGTAAATTCCTTGGATGATTATTTCATGGAAAAGGTAAAATTCATCAAAATATTGATGCAAGATTTGAAAATGACCAGGATTATTTGATGCCAGAATATTTGCCAAATATTTAAAGCCAGAACGCATACCATTGAACAAATTTTCCTGTTCAAAAATCTCATATATCGATGGTAAATTGTCCGACATTATAATAAATTATACCAGTGGTAAATCAATAAACAATAACAAATAATAAAAGTTAAATAATAAACTAAAAAAATATCAAAACATATTACATTGTCAAATTTTGCCATCAAAACAACAAAAAGATCTTTAAGCATCTCTTCCAATATCAGATAACTGTTGAAGCGGTTTTTTTAAATTTCAATCAAAACTTGTGCATTGATGAAAGTTTCATCATGAAACTGAACTTTTTGACAACTATTTTACTCTCAAAATTGTGCTTTCTTGTTGGCCATTAAAAGTTATCTCAGATCGATGAAAAAAGCTGTTATACAACTATACAAAAGCGATCAAACGCAAAGTGAACTTCGAACGCTATTTTATCGAAAAATGTGAATCAAAAATTTTTTTATTATTTTTCTTAAATTGTTCAAGAATTAAACCGGTAAATAACTTAATAAACTTAAAAAGCTCCAGAATTCGAGATTTTCACGAATTTCCCTTTCAAGCATCGATCAGATCGATACTATTCAAAATGAAATTGGTATCGATTACGATATTTTAGCTTTTTTTCATATTTTAGAAAATTAATCCATTTATTTTAATTCCAATCATTAATTACATTGATCCCAGTTTTGTTTAAAATATGAAATTATGAAAATAGTGAAAAAAGTAATTGGTTTTTCTTTCCCTGAATCTCTTAGTGATTTCTTCTGTTTACAAAAGCTTAATCTTAAGCTTCCTGAATTGATCAACCAATATTCCGAGGAACGAACAACTTTAATTTTCACTTGTACAAGAAAAGATTGTCAAACAACTGCTGAATTCTTGTCTCAAAACTGTCCATTCAACTACAAGCCATTTCAAAGGGATAAGTTTGCCATACTTTCACAATCTATTGATAACAATAGATTGAAAGCTACTCTACTCAAAGGAATCGGTTTCTATCATGCAGGCCTTTCTCCAGATGATCGACAAAAACTTGAAATAGCTTTTTTAAATGGAGAAATTCGTATTGTAGTTGCAACAAGTGCTCTTGCCTCGAGTGAAGACCTTTCTGCTCACCTGGTCATCATCAAAGGAACTAATTATTTTATCAATGGAAGCTCTGTTGAATATGAAGAGTCTACTGTATTGCAGATGTTGGACATAGCGGGTAAATCAGAGCTTGATGACTGTGGATGTGCCATCATTTTAACTAGAAAAGAAAACGAGACAAAATATAAAAGACTAGTCGCAGGTGAAAAGATGATTGAAAGTAACATCTATAATTTTTTTTCAGAAATTTTTATGACTGAAATCGAAAGGAATGCGATTTGTTGTTTGAATGATGCTGTTGATTGGGTTCGGTCAACTTTTTTTTATATACGAATTCACAAAAATAAGCAATATTATGGTTTGGATCCAAACTGCACAGAGGAGCAAGTAGACCAAAAATTAAAAGAGATCTGCATTAAAGAGCTGAATAGCTTTAAAAAGTACGAGTTGATTGAAGTAAATGCCGATGGAACTATTCAAGCTACAAATATTGGCCGACTGATGGCTGATCATTCGATATCAACTCAAGCAATGCAACAATTTTTGAAACTTAAAGGGAATGAAAACTTATACGATTTACTTACCGTTCTAACCAAATGCAAAGATCTCAACCAATCCGTCATCTTAAAGACTGCAGATGAAAGAGTTTTAAGTAAATTCAACACTTTTTCAAACTATAATCGTGTGATACGCTTTCCATTATCAGGTCCGATAAAAAGCAATGAAATGAAAATTAACGTGCTCATTCAAGTAGTTCTTGGTTGTATTCCACTTCCCGAAGATTTCCCTCTGCTACAAAAAATTGACGAAATGATTAATATTTGTCAAATACTCAGCAACTGTTTGATGGACATTGCTTTCATCAAAGCTACAAATCTGCCCTTCTTATTAAACTGCATCATTCTGGCTAAGTGTTCAAAAGTTGGACTTTGGGAAAACTCGAGGTATGTTTGCAATCAAATTAACGGAGTCAACTCAAAAATCGCTCGCAAACTAGCCAACGCTAATTTTTGTTCGTTTGAGAAAATTGAACACGCTGATCCAAGACTGATCGAGAACGTTTGTCAATGTGATATTACCTTTGGTGATCATGTTATTCAAGAAATAAAAAGAATCCCAAAATACGAAGTTACTATTGAAAATACCCAGATAACATCAGTTGATTACTCGCAAACAATTAGGATCAAAGTTAATCTTACCAATTGGGAGGTTATTGCAAATGACACTGATAAACTGGGAAAACTTAGTTGTATACTATTAATTGGTGATCAAGACAATGCAATTTTAGTAAAAGAAAGGATATTTACTCAACATTTAATCAAGCTGACTGGAGTTTATGAAAAAGATTTCCCAATTCCAGCCTCAGCAGCATCCATTTTCATTCACTTTATTGACGAGTTTTATGTTGGAACTGATATTTCATTGGAATATTTTCCGAAATATCTTTTATCTCATGAACAAAACAGCATTCGGAAAATTCAAGAAATCAAACAATTTGATGACATTTTCAATGTATCATGCAAGCTGGAATAATCATTTTACATTTCGAATTCATTTCATTTCAACTTTTATTGAAAATTGACAAATACTTGACTGTCAAGCTTTCTGTTTGTTATTGTTTCAAATGTTCATTGTTTACTATTGTTTCTGTTATTAATCAGAAAGTCTATCTGATTGACTCTTAAATTCTATTATCCCAATGATATTTTGGAAAAATGTTTTTATTTTTTCTTTTGATTCTGTTTCTTTGTTAAAAAATCAACATTAAATTGTTGCCTCTAAACCATCACAGTTGTTTTATTTACCTTTTTTAATGATTAAGGATTACTTTTAACACAAAACTTACACATTCAATTGTTAGGATAACTTCATTTCCTCTCGACTATAATAATAGCTCAATGTTCAACCTAAACTGACCATTATTCAGATAGATTTTTTTGGTCATATCAACCAAAGATCAATTACAGAATAATGCTAGATAAGTGTTTCCTTATCAATACAAGAAAAGAGCAAATGCTATGCCTGTAAAGTACCGATGGATCATTTAACCTGCTAATATTTTTTAATGATCATAAAAAATAAACACGATGACCTAAAACTATAACTAAAATAGTCAACTTAGAAGTAACAATGATCAATTATCCTACCTTTTAATTTCATTTAAGTTAACATCAGCACGAAACATGAAGGTTATCGCGTTAAAGAAAAGTTTTTTACGTCTAACCTGATCAAGAATGGGAATGGCATTCATTTCATAGTCTGGAGGTGTTTAGTTAATTTTGATTTACTTAATCTGGAAATATAATTAATGGAACAATTGATAGCGAAAAGAAAAGGTTACTTTAAAAACGCGATCAAATTAATCATTAGATTTCATATAAAATGTAAAGGACACAAACTTGAAAATTATCGTGTCATTTATACAATGCTTAGCTATCAATGGTATTGATGAAATTGCGGTAGCTTAAGCCTCAATAAAAGAGTATTAAATTTTTGATTCAGCAATTTCTATTTCTCTTTAATCCTACTCATTTCAACAGCAAATCACATTGAGAGAGTTGAAATAGGATGAAATTAAATGTATGATTGTAAATTAAAAATTCAAATCAACATTAGTAATCTTATATTCATCTGCAAAACTATATCAAAGCAAATCTTTGATCAAGATATATCCAAAAATTTCTAATGATCTCCCACTTAATTGCAACCATCTTTGTGAAACAATATTACAATAAAAAACCGGTTATTAGCTTTTAAAGGCTCATTTATCTTGTTCCGGTGGAACCTCTCTTGTTACATTTCTTTCTCCCATCATCATCTTCCTCTTTTCTCGCTTCCTCATCATCATCCTTCATTGGAAGATCCTATTAACCATAAGGTCAAGAAATTTGAGTTATATGGTATGAAACAAAATTTTAACCAAAAATGCAAACCAACACATGAAAAACGTAGGAAACGTTTGAAATAAGTTGATTTTATTTTTTCTTCTTTTACTTTTGTCTCATCTCTTTACTTGTGATACTTAAAAAAAAGAGTCCCCAAGACTCTTGTTTTAAAAAAAGAGGAAACATCAAGTTAAAGAAAGGAATACATGAAGTAAAGTCGACGTCAAAATTTTCTTGCAAGGCACAAATAAACATAGTACAGCTTCCTCTTGGATCCATTTTTATTTCTTTTCCTTCGTCAATCAACTATTTAGGCTTGGGGATGAATGAGCCAACAATACGAGGAGGAAGAGTTGGCTTATTACAAGTGAATGTACCATTTCGCTTGATCATTCGAGCAGTCGATACGGTATTGTTTGTTATAGGTGTACTTGCTTTTCTAGTCATAGATAAATATTCTATAAAAAAACAAAACAAGCAAAATGACAAGAATTAATGGAATAATGTAAATGAGCATAAGAGAAAGTTAAAGAAAGGGCAATGTTTGGCAACGTTAAACATATGAGAAAATGGATAGATAAAAATAAATGGCAATTGTTATGAGATTAAAATAATAACTACGCTTCAACTTACCAGGTGAATAACGAGTGTTGTTTAAAATTAACTCGTCATCTCTATATTCATATTGGCGATTCAGGGCAGAACTCTTAAACAATCGATATGCACTTAATACATTTGAGTTGCTGCTTCTGATTGGACGGCTGTCAGTAGGCTCAGCATAAACAGAATACATTGAGATAGGCTTCTTCTTTACAGGCTGATCTTGCTCAATTTTACGATTTGTCACACCATTCAAACCTCGAGTGACCGTAGCAGTATTTGATAAATATTGTTGATCCCTTTGTTGAATAATTTGTTGAGATGATTGGGGTATTTGGTCCCTCCGTGTAATTGTAAATGACTCATTTGGGTTGATTTTTTCTTCATCATCCATGGTAAATGTATTGTTGAGCTTGGTCTTTCTCATGGTAAAAGTACTCTCCAATTCATTGTTACTGCCACCCAGATGATTATTAAGGTTGGTATTACTCCCACTAATATTGGAACTACTGTAGTTTAATTTGGTATTTCTCAAATTACCATTACTTGGCGATAATTCTTCTGAAGATAAGAATCGATTGAAAAATGTTGGTTTTCTTTTAGTTATGGTTCTTGTATCAAGCTTTGCTTCTTTATTGTACTCCAACTTGGATTCCCATCGGGTTTCTAAATTTCTTTCAGGCATAGCCACTCGACCAAATTTATTAGACCTGGAAGAAGATTCCAATTTATGCAGAACTGCTAAATTATCCAATTCACGAACAAGATTATCTTTAGTTGACTTGTAAGCCTCATTATCAAGAACAGTTGTTAACCAATTGTTTAAATCGCAATCTTGCTTGCCGTTGTGTTGTTGCTCAGAGGCAACTTTGTCATATTGTTCATGATTATTGTCATCGTCACCTTCACCGTTCTCATAGAGACCAGCATCATTATTTTGAGAAAAATGGTTATTTGTTCCTGCAGGTTTACCGTTAGAACGATGATTAACGCCGTTTGTCGAAATCAAATCAATTGAAAGCCAACTGTGTTCATCATCATTAACCAACTGAGCTAAAGTTTCTTCACTAATTATCTCAGACTCCTGGTCCAACTCGATAATTCCATTATCAGGGGAACTAACATGAATCCGTAGATCCATAACACTTAAGGTCCAATATGACACAAGAAAATGAAAATGAAAAGGAAAGGTGAAAGGGAAAAGAGACTGATAGGAATATAAAAAAGGGATAACAAACTTATAAAAACAATAAAGTGATGAAGGGAATCACAGATTTAACAAGAAAGACAGTCTTCCTTGGGAGGAGTCACATAAAAGGTTACCATGAATACATTTTAATCAACAGACCAGAAACTCTATTTAAATGTCTGCATAAAACTTCGACTAGCATAGCATAAAGTGTTTGACTTTTAATGAAAAAAAAAGGGATAATAAAGACAATTGAATGAAGAGTAGATTGAATTATAATCAAAGTTTAAAGAGACACTGAAAATTTGTTGAATCAGAAGGCTGCCAACGATTGTAAGGCCATTTTCGGAGTCTAATAAAAATTAATCAGCACCATCTAATGGATATAATGCGTAACAGTGATAAAACTTTGCCATAAAAGTAAGGATTATCTTGATCGAGGTAGACACAGATTATTCAATAATCACTTTAATCTTGAAACACTATCGATGGACATTTTGAACGCAATGGATACCACGTTCTTGAAATAAGATTAACAGACCGAAGAGTAAACACTTTATTGGAGTATCATTGATTCAGTAAAATTTCCGTTGAAACGTTATTATATTAGACTTTTCAAAAAGAGACTAGCAAATCAAAATTATAAATGATTAGTTGACATAATTACAAAAGATTTTGATTGGACACTTGAGTTGAAGAGTGTGACAAAATTAAAAAACAAAATAAATGCCATTTTAAATGAGCAAAAGGCTATCCACAATTAGGTTAACTTTTTGACTCATTGTTCAACAATGATTGTTGATGCATTCAAATTTTGTTTCCATCTATAGATGGCGGCACTATTCATGTACTTTGTTGGGTAACAAATTGATCTTATTGGTTGATTCGTAAAAATCACCTTGGCAACAATTTTAAAAATTTTGTGAAAATCATTTTTCAATCAACTAACCAAATTTGGCTGATATTTACTTCGGCCTGTTCTTAATTAATCAAAGTGACCTTATCTAATATCTTGATCGACGTAATTTAAATTATTGAACATCTACTCCAATTTTCACTTCTAATCACTCAACTTATTTCACAGTTTTCCATAACTTTTTTAAGTGTATATGTATCTGTTTTAACCACTTCTCATTTTTATCATCCTTTTTTTTACTTAACGGATCTTAATCAAATAATTATCAATGGCTTCATCCTCAAATGATGAAAATTGTGTTAAACAATGGAAATTGGAAGATTTTCAAGTGGGTCGACCGTTGGGAAAGGGTAAATTTGGTAATGTTTACCTTGCTCGAGAAAAGCGTAGTAAATATGTTGTTGCACTCAAAGTTTTGTTCAAGTCTCAATTAATCTCAAACAATGTTCAGCATCAGCTGCGTCGGGAGATAGAAATCCAGTCACATCTTCGTCATCCCAATATTTTACGTCTTTTTGGATATTTTCATGATAATACAAGAATTTACCTAATTTTGGAGTATGCACCTCAAGGAGAGCTTTACAAGAAACTTCAGAAACTTAAATTTTTCTCAAATGAACTTGCTGCTCAGGTAAGGATTTCTTTGTTTTATCCTTCAATTCATCTTGCTAAAGTCTTCCCTCTTTGTTTCCATTTACAGTATATATATCAAATGATTGACGCTCTCAAGTATTGCCACTCAAAGAAAGTTATACATCGTGATATCAAACCGGAAAATATTTTACTCGGGTACTATGGTGAACTTAAGATTGCTGACTTTGGTTGGTCAGTTCACGCACCGTCTTCTCGAAGAGCAACAATGTGCGGTACTCTTGATTATTTACCTCCTGAAATGGTTGCTCATGATGCATATAGTGACAAAGTTGATCATTGGTGTCTTGGTGTACTTACTTATGAATTTTTGGTTGGCAAGCCACCTTTCGAAAATGAAGATGTCTCTATGACCTATAAAGCTATTCTTAATGTTCAATATACTTTCCCATCTCATGTTCATGAATTAGCCCGTGATTTTATCTCTTCATTTTTGAAGAAAAATCCGGACCACAGAATGTCTTTGGAAGACGCACATCGTCACAATTGGATTACAACTTTTCGTGGAGAATCAAATAATAAACACCTTGTGTAATTCAAAGCTTAAACTTTTGATTGATTGATTCACTTGAAATGAAATTAAAATAACTGAGACATTTTTTCATTATCAAATATTTTCATTATTAATATCTTTGATTTTTTATAATTTTCGTATGTACAATTAAAAATATATATATGTATAAATAATAGGTATTTAGAGATTATTTACGATTTCGTCGCATGCATATAAACTTTTATCTATTAATTGTAAACGTAACAGTTGATTTAATCAAATAGTGTGACAATTAATGACTTCTTGATGTGCATGTACAATGTTATATGGCAATGGTTTTTGTGGCAATGAAGATGGATTTTGAAGACTTGGATGAAGTTATTTACATTTGTGCGATATGTTGAATATATTCAACACATTATGATGAATAATTTGGGATCGATGTTTTTACGGAGGGCTTAGAATCAAGCATGTTGATAAACGTTGATAAGGTCTTCTTCATTGAACACGAGTTAGGTATTGATGTACCATTGCAAAGTGGAGCATTTAAAGTTAATTTGGAGGGTGATGGTCTCCTAGAGATGATTAAATCGCCATTAGGGGCTGATGAAACTGTTGATAGATCAATTGACCAGGCAAAAGATGAGATTAGTGAAAGAAGAGATGATGATACAGAAAGATCACGTTCATCTGCTTCAGATGGATTGTTGAATGGTAAACCAAAGGCGAGAAGAACATCATCACCATGTGAACCAGTTTCAATAAAATCTGGAGCCAGGGAGAAACCAGGTTTGTAATGAAGTTTGTAAGAACTTGTTTCGATGTCTAGAGTATTAAGGATAGATGCTAATCTTTCAGAATGTGAGTTGATCAACAGGTTAGAGCAGAAGTTAACATATTCGCGAGCCAAAGGCATGCCAGATTTTAAGGTGCGAGATTTAATGAATGATTGGAAAACAGCATCGCCATTTCCAGTTTTATAAGTTTTTAAATCTTTCTTGGCCAATGAAATCATTTGTTGTTCAGTAAGATCGCCAGAAATCAATTTATTGTAAATGTTTCGCTTAGTTACCATCCATGTTAATAAGCAAAGTGATCCTTCTGATGCAGTTGATCCGATCATTACTGATTCAACTCCTCTGGCAATTTCTCCGCGACTAAGGGCAGCAAATGGTCCATCAGTAATCAAGACATTGTCGGTTGTTGGTTTCCAACCGTAACCAGATTTACTGAGGATTTCATCTGAACTGGCGAAGTAAAGACATTTAGAGGCATTTAATTGATCACAACCCAAAGCGTGGATAAAACTGTTTGATCGTTCAAGAGGTGCTTTTTCCATTGTCCATTCATCAACGGCAACTCCTGACATGAGAATAGCCTTTGAGAAAAGTGGCTCATTCAAATTGCGAAGTAATGGAGAAGTCAAGAGATGAGTAATTGCCATTGAACCAGAAAATCGGCCAAAAACTGTAACCTTCTTTGAATCACCACCGAAAACAGCAACATTATCTTGGATCCATTTGAGAGCTTCAACTTGGTCCCAAATACCCATATTACCTTGTGAGATGATATCATCTTTAAGGAAACCGAAAACACCAACACGATATTGGACTGTTATAACAATAACTTGACCAAAGGCAGATAAATATGAGCCATCAAATTGATTGGCATCAGCAAAGTCGAAACCTTCACCCGCAAGCCAAACCATAACTGGAAGAGCGGAAGAAGATGATTCAGATTCGTTGACATAAGGTGCATAGATGTTCAAGTAAAGACAATCTTCAGAAACCTATGAGAAGAGATAGAATAAAAAAATTAGCATTCCATTGATAATAATATGTTTTGATTCGCAGTGAATCGTTTAATTGTTGAATGAAAAGTTGTTGGAAATTATTCTTACCTTATGGTTTGCATCAAAATTCAACAATGGGTTAATTGCTTCAGCAATATGAGGAAATTGGACACATGTAGCAGCTGGTTTAGTTGCATCGATTGTTCGAAGTGGATCAGAAGCCAAAGGTTGAGGTCGGCCAAACCTTCGTGATCCAATGGGAGGTTGAGCGTAGGGAACTCCAAGAAATTGGTTAACCAAGATTGAGCCTGGTTTAACTATTGTTGTACCACGAATGATTCCAGTTTTACTTTGAACAATTGGAGAAGATGATGAGTAAATGAGGGACGGAGCAAAAGTCAGTCCAATTAATAGATGAACAAGAGTTAAGTATAGAGACATTTTCGCAAAAAGCGTTTGTAATTAATGAAATGTTGTAATAAGAAAATGTTAAAATAGATTCACAAGTTGATTTGAAAATAAGACTTTAAGTCAAAAGTAAAAGTATATAAAAGCGTTTTAATAAGATAGTTTTAAAGGCAAATGTTTGTTGTAATGCTTTTGGAAGTTTCAAGCTGAATGATTTTCCAAAGCAACCTCAGCCTGCTTTTATACTGATTCACTGAATTTTAAAGTTGTTTATCAGTTCTTGTCAACGAGAGTTCTATGCCTCTTTGAAGTAAGAGAAGGAGAAGGAGAGAAAGAGAAAAGTAAGCAAAAAAGAAAGAGGAGAGACAGAAAGAGATGATGAGAACAGAAAGGCGGAGATGATAATAATTTTTCCTCAAAAACAGAGAGATGAACGAAAAGGTAAAAAAACATTAATCCAACGGTTAGGTCAGTTCATTCGGAGAGAAACGAAGATCTGGTCTGACAAGAATCATCATCCTCTTTCTCTCTCCTTCTCACATTATCATTCAATGTCTTGGCCGGCTCACTTGAAATCTCAAGGTAAATTGCATCAAATGTCAGTTACCCCTTGTTTACAATTTTGCTTCGGAATTTTTTATCCTCCTCCTTCTCATCTCATTTCTCATTAAAATCATCTTCATCACTTTCTCCTCTTCTTGACCCACTCCTATGACCTTTTTCAATGCATAACCAAGGGCCTAACCGGTTTTTTTTATTTTTCAAACCAAATTCATCTGATCACAAACACTCTTTAACAAAATGATTATTATTATTAAGTCACTAACTTTTCCATTTGATCACATCACTTGATCACAAAGCTTCGACAGGCTCAAACATATCCATCTTTATCATGAAAGACGGACTTCTCTCCCTCTCTTTCAGTCGTCCTAAATTAAGCTAAATCATTACGTACGATTATTTCTTAGCTGTTTCTTACTCTTCACTTTTAAACATTATCAGTTCTTATCTTAATCCGTATTTCAACCTTTCTCAGTTCAAATAGTAAATTAATCACGAGAAGTTTGGTGCAACTGTCCAAGGTTAGTCAGAGATATTTTCCAATGTTGTAACTCTTTAAACATTGTAACAAATTGAAATTATTTCGTAATGCTCATTGATATTATGATAAATCAATGGAGCAAGAAAAGCAGTTTTTGTTCTGTCATCAGAAACAATCAAGACGCTTTGGGTTCAGACTTTTTTTGTCTAGCAAGTTCATTAACAGTTGCTTGTAATCAAGTGTGATACGCAATAACAGGCGATAACTGCACAAACAACAACAGAATCTTCTCTAAATTGTAAACAATTCATAACCTGTTACATAGTAATTACGGTGTTATTACTATCTTTTAAGGAGTTTTGTTTACGTCTATTTTGGATTGAGAAACTTGAACATCAACAACATCTCAAGTATTGTAATAGATGTTGAAACAGGATGAAGGGTTGATTATTTTGTTTACCTTTTTTCAACTCAACCAAAACTTATTAACCCCTTCTTCACATGATTCGGGTTTTAAGACTTTTCCCATATTTCAGATTGGTGCAAATGATGATGCTGGTAATACTTTTACTTTCCAAAAACATCATTTGATTTCAACTAGGCTTTGAATTTTATCCTTGTTTACTTCCAATTTTTGGGTCATCGGGCTTCTTCAAGAAATAGCTCCAAGTCCTTTGAGGATCTGAAAAACAAAAATACCATTTACGGTTACAATGTTGTCTTGAAATAGTGTTAGCTGGATTCATGATAAGTCCATATGAATATAAACAAAAATAACATCCAACAGAGGAACCAACTTTAAATTGCTGTGATAAATGTACTTAAATTATGATAGTTTGATTAGATAGACTATTTCATAATAATCTTTACACATTCATATAAATAACATTTATGTAAATGTAACGTAATCTGATTAAGATGTTATTTTTGCATCATATGGCCAATGTTTCTATGCAAAAAAATGGATTTGATATTCATCTCGAGACTTGCAGATTCAAACTGACAATTCAGACTGATTTCTGTAAAACCATCACGTGATATTGGATTATGCTAATCTAGTCTATTAGTGGACATTTGATCACCACAGTTATAATGAGTCGTTTTATTCAAATCTTTCCCAGTGAAATTGGTAGCTTTGTGCATGAATAAACGTTCCAGGTTATATTGGATTAACCGTTCGAGCAATGACAACAGTATTACCATTATTATTTAACGATTGTTATTTACCTCGATTATTTTAATAAAAGATAATTTGCCTTTGAGGCGATTTAAAGTTGAATGAACTCAACACGTTAAATGGTCAAGCGATAATCTTCCATATATTACAACTTTTCCTTTTTACTTCTTTTCCACTCAATATTCTCCTTTTCGTTCTCCTTCTTCATCTTCATCTTCTTCTTTTAACCGGAAAGATTTATCCAATTCGCTGATTGCTGCTGATTATTATATATTCCAGTTGATCCGCATCTGAAAGACAAAAAAGTAAGTAAATAAACCAAACAATCACAATGAGTTTACTATAAAGTGAACGGTTAGTGTAAATGTATATATACATGCAAACATTCATACTGTCAGGTTTATTTTATTAAATTATAAGAAAATTCGTACGACCATCAATCTAACTATCATTTGACAAAAAGTTTGAGTCTTAAAATGCATACATATATATATACATATATCAACAAGAAAAGTAAAAGTATTAAATTGTGTAAAACTTACCTGTAACAAACCAGTAGAAACTTTTCAATTTGTCCCAATACAGGTAAAGTTGAAAGAATAAGGCGAAAAGAGGAATCATTGATGAATCACAGAATCAAGAGTTCATCCGTTCATTGTCCTAATTGCAGGATGACGATCCCTCACAATCACACTAATTCATTTTAAATCATAACGATTATCATCTTTCATTTTCAAACGGTCAAAAGGGTGCAAATTATTTAAAAAACAAACTCTTCCTGTCACCATCTTTTGCATTTTATAATAACCATTGTCTTTTTTAACTTTCCCTCTCTTTTAACGTTATTCATCGGTTTATTTTAACCAACGGTTTTTGTTCAGTCATTAGTGATGTTCGATATGAGTATTTTTTATATATCGATATTTTTGATATTGAGGGCTATAATATCGATATATCAAAAAATATCAAAAAAACTTTTTTACATTGAAATTTGACTCATTTGATTTGCTGAAATGTTTTTGTCACGCAGAGTTGCAAAGTCACATGTTCTTAGCCTTAATTCAATTATCAATTCAACATTTCTAGCTGTAAAACACAAATATTTTCAAGACGAGAAAGATTGCTCATGAAAAAATTGGACGCATTAATGTCCAAAGGTGCAACTTTAACCATTTTTTCAATTTTTTTATATCGATACCATATCGTAACTCATATTGATATTTTCTTGTGAAAAAATATCGATATATATCGGTTGTTTCGATAAATCAGCACATCACTATCAGTCATGCTTTTCATTTAAATTGTTTCAATTCACCTAGGATTTATCTTTAATTGATTTTATTGAATTCCAATTTCACTTATTAGGGTTTAAAGTGTTATAATTGTTTATTGCGAAATGATAATATCTTGATCAAATGGTTCGATAAAATTGAAAAAGCCTTCAACGACCTTCATCTTTTTTATGATCATTTTGAGTCTTCACTTTCACTTTCTCTTCTCTCTTCACTTATTCACTCCGACAAGAGTTCATTAAACATTGAGTAAGGTAAGACGTTTTTAATTCATTAATCAATTAACTTACTGTATTAAATTGTGATTGAATGGTTTGTCTGTCTTATAAAGGCTTAAATATTTATCCAATTTCAAATGGATTACTTACAGTGTTTAAGAAAGGAAAGTAATAGCCATTAATCAATTCTGTTTGAGGATAAAACACCATTTTTCTTTCATTATCAACATTACCATTATTATTGGTATTATTCCTTTCAATAATGTTAATTTCTAATCTTGTGATGTTACATTTACCTTTTAATATTAATTATTTTTCCCTGTGATCTATAAATATATTCTTTAACCCTAAATAATTTTAACCCATAATTTAGCCATCCGTTTGTAATTGTCTATTCATCTGTGCGTGTATCTCATCTATTAATTCATAGTCCTAATAGCTTTAGATAACATGATTTGTCCACTAATCTGTATATTAAAAATTACTTTGCCATAGATTAGCAATTCTTTGTAGATTTGTAAAACACGGAAGATTTCAATTAGCTTATAACTATTATTTTAATCCATTTTTTCTACATGTGTGCATCTGGTATTGCTCTGTTCGTTAATGCATAGTATCGTCTCAACCGCTTAATTTTTGACAGTTAAATTGTTACAGAAAACGTGATTCATAACGATGTTTTAATGTCACATGGAAAATTGTTGAAACGTGCTTACAATAATAATAAATAGTGAATGATTCCAAATGCACCCTTAACCTTGATCATCAGATTTTATCAAAACTTTTTCACTTGTATAATTCTTTCAATCTGATAATAAGCATCATAATCATAATCATAAGTTGATGCCAATAAACGTGAATTATTAAAAAACCCAGTAAATAACCTTTAAATAGCAATCGAAAAGCCTAGTTACATCAACATACCAATCATCACAATTTAATGAACATACTTAGCAGTAAAAATCAGATTTAATCGAACTAATATCTTTTTTTTTTCTTTCAGGCTAATGGGTATATTTTACAGTTGAGTGGAAGCTCTATGAGATAATATTACGACAGTCTGGTGTGATACTGAATCATGATTGACCAATATTAGAGCCTTGTCCACATGTTTCGATCTCACGGGTGCTCAATCAATGGGGATTGGTATTTAACTCATGCATAGACTCATTTACGTTTGCTTTGATAGTGATTTCAGTTTCCAATAATCTTTATTCCATGTCGATCATATTTTATCTGATTAATTAGATTGATTAATGAGAATGTTTAAGAGAGAAAATTATTTTACGTGAAAAGGTCAGAAAGAGTTAAATCATTTTAAAACAGAAAAGTGAAAGTGTATTGATAAAAGGTAGAAAGTTGCGAAAAAAATTGAGAAATTCGATTGCGATGAACTCAATTGCATAAGCCTTGAAGAAGATCAACACTTAGATTAACTAACAGAATCTATTCTTTCCTTGAAATTGGAAAAAATCACTAATCAAGTAACAGTTTTAATTTGTGTTAAGGAGCCAAGTAAGGGAAACAAAAAAGTAATGATTCTTATTAATCTTAATTCTAATGGTAACTTTTATTTCTTCCATTAGATTATCCATTTCATATGATCAACAATCAAGGTAATCAAGTGAAGGGAAAAGTTAGAAGCTGAAAAGGAATCATTGAAAAAAAAAATTCTCTGACATCTTGGACAAAACAAGGTTATTAACAATTATTAGATCAATAATAATGGCAATGGATAGATCGTCGAACCCCATTTACCTTCACCTTACTATTTTTATCCGAAATTTGATGGCCCAGAAACAGATTAATAATCGCAGTTACATTGACCAAGGATGATGAAGCGTATACAAAATAATCAAAGCCAACAGATTAACGAAAGTTTCAATTGTAAATCGACTACAGGAGTTGTTTAACTGCAATGCTTTTTCATTTGGACAATGAAATGGAATACAAAATGGGAAAAATTTGACCCTCTGGAGAAAGTTCAATGTAATTTGATTTAATTGGCGAGACATGGATTAAGTGAAGCATACAAGTTTATACGATGAAAAGTTTGCCCTCTCTGTGAAGTTAATTAATTTGATGAACGAACGATAAATAGCCCCTGATTAAGGCAAAAAAACATCAAGGTTGTCGTCCTTTTTAAACAGAGGTTATTGCAAGTTAAAAGCAAAATACCTTTACCTATAGTTTATTCAGTGGTATGTAGGGATGAAAAAGTAAAAACATCAGATAAGTATTGAGTTACGGTTAATGATGTTCACAGGTTCAATACTTGATCAAGAACGATTAACCGATAAATCAAATTGTAATGCGAGTTTGGAGAAAGGACAGATGATCCATGATAACGAACTCAAATGTAATTATAATTTACGAACTAAAATTGGCCATTAGTTAGCGTAAAGCCTTAGTTAATTTTTACTATGTAAAGCGTATTTGTTTTTAAAAAATTTTAAGAATCAAATTCATTGATTACATTGGAAGGTTAATTGTTGCTCTATGATTGTAATTTATATTGAATACATAATAAGAGGCTATCAAAATAAGTAAATGTTACATGGACATTGGAAGAGATATAAGATAGGAAGACAGTCTAATGATCAGAATGATCAGATTGTGAAATGAAGAAAAGTGAAAGTGACCAAAATGGCTGAAGGTATAGAGAGAGGATAAAGAAAGAAAGTAAAAAAGATTCAAGGTAAGCCAATTGGGTTTATTCAACCCTTGTTTACGATTTTTCAACCCAAAATTGAATTTATTTGATTTTGTATTTTTCTCAATGTCATAGGAACCGGTTTCTGTGTTCTCATCACTTTCACTGAAAATCATCACCAACACGATCTCTTACTCTCTCTTTCTCCTGATTATCTTCTTTCGTTTCAACCAAGACCTGCAACGGCAACATCTTTCACCTTATACAGTCTCTTAACCAACATGTTTATTGGATATTTGGATTCAACCTGTTGTAAGAGGTTATGTCCGCCATATTTTAGTCTCGAGATGATTCATTTCATTCCAGATCAATATCATAACAAAGAGTTACATCTATTGAACTTATAACACTGGACACACCATCGGAATATTTTGGTTAGTCTGTATTCTGGTTTGGTAGGATTGATAACCGATAGCAGAGATTATACGAATGATGGAAAAAGTTCAATGTATATGTTTATGAGCCATTAATAGTACTGTTAAGATATGGATGACAACGAGTTTTTTTATAAACGACTACCTTGATTGGCTTTTGTGTCTGAATTTCGAATTGATTTTATATTATTTTTCCTCAACATTTCCTGTCTTTTGCTTATTCTATTATCCCTCCAATTAGATTAAGATTTAATTCTCTTCTATTTACCTTATCTAATTCTGCTTTACATTTTTCTCATCTAACAGGGTCAAGGTTATCATACCGAAGCTGAGCATTCATGAGTGATCGAATTATCGTTGCCTTCACAAGTTCATTTGATTTCTATTCTTGACCCATTTTGTTTATCCTCTTTGACCGTCGCGTAATCGTTACTTTTTGTTCATAGTCTGGAATACTGTATTCTCAAATGAAAAGTGATTCAATAGGTCCTAATCTCACAATCAGGGAACTATACTGATGCATAAGTGGGAATATTTTGGATTTGTGTTTACAAATGCATCCACGTATTTAGATTCAATTCACCAATTGAACATTTAAAAATACATGTGCCTTATGGAAATTTGATTGTTCGCAATTCTTTACAATATGGATGTTGATGGTGCTTATATTTTCCTTGATGCTATATTTCCTGTATTTATTCACAATCATCTTCCGCATGAAAAAGTTAAAATTTAATAAATCAAGATGGAGTGATTTCTTCCATTCTCAATCATAACTTCAATAAAGATTTATTAAAATAAATATTTTAATTTTTTACCAACTGGATCCAAATTACCGAAGCTTTTGAATATCAATTTTGCCGATATGAGAAAACTTGAAATAAACTTGAAAGATCACCGAAAATGTTGCCGATAGTATTCGTTACTCATTTAAACCGCCAATTATACAAAATTGACTAACTCTCAAATCATCATTCGGTCAATATTAAGTGCAATTCGTAGTAAATAAACAAAGGTCCATTAATTTTTGTCAATTCCAGTCAAATTTCATAAAAACTAAAGAGTCTCTAATTAGCTGCCTAATAAATTATTTAAAGTTAAAGTATAACAGAATCCATTAATTCACATAATTTTATTAGTAATCACGCATTCGATACCAAAGTAGTCCAATGTTCATCAATTGAACTGTTTTTGTACCAAAACAACAGCAATGAAATAAAATTTGACAAGGAATCAAATTAACGTTTGTACCATTATTTTTGTAAAATAAAGTGTCTTACACTGATTAAATTGCAATTATTCCCATTATTCAAACGGAAACAATAAAATATCAAACGGTTCATCTTACAAATTGGATTTAATCTGTCTATTTTCCTAGGAAAAACCCAAAACCCAAAATCTAAACAAAAACGCCAATGTCGATTAAAATCGACTCGATCAGTTCATTTGTAAATCAACTCAACATTGTGATTGTAAATATAGTTGATCCATCAGTCTTTTGCTTTCCATGAACTTATTTTTTATCAAAATGCCATCAACGAAAATCGCCATTATGCTAACTTTGATTGTCATCTTAATTGACCAGAAGGTGAATACAAACGAAGTTGGGAGCCAGGCCATCCATCGTCAAAGTCGTTTTCTAATCCTTCCCGGGTCAGTTTATGTCAACAGCACCAATTGGTCCCCATTGGATGGTATAATGAAAACTTGGGGTAATTTGATAAACTGGAAAGTATCAACATTTGGTGCAATCAAAAATTGGGTTCGCAATTTGATATCAAAAACTCCCATTGATGTCAACTGTCTTAAAGAAGGTAAACCAGTCAATAATCAATCGATGTTACACGATTTAAAATCAAAATTATTTAAAGATTGGAAGAAACAATCAACAACAACCGCAAATCAAGGTAAGATGATTGCAATAGATTTCAATTTTCCAAGCTAATTCAGTTAAACTTTTGATATAACATTGAAAACAGAATCACACTTGAAAAAATAAGATTCGATTTACAACAGCATACCGTTTTTATGAGCCTCGGAGGATTAAAAATGAACAGTAAAATTTACTTAAATTTCTGAAAATTATCTTTTGATTGATAAATCCACCAATTTCTTCTACTTTTCTCATTATTCTTTTGTTCATTAGGTAATTCCGATGATCCGATGCCACAGACACTTCAACAGACATCAACTTCACCAACTACGTCAGCTAAATCAACTACTTCAAGCCCAACAAAATCGACTAATCTTCTTACACCGGCATCAACCCCAGCATCAACCCCAGCCTCAACCCCGGCATCAACACAAGCATCAACTACACCACCAACACCATCGACGTCAACACCATTAACGACACCAGCAGCAACTACACCAACACCATCGACACCACTAACACCATCGACATCAACAACACCAGCAACAACACAAGCATCAACTACGCCACCAACACCATCCACGTCAACACCAGCATCAACACCATCAACAACACCTGTAACGACACCAGCAGCAACTACACCAACACCATCGACATCAACAACACCAGTATCAACTACACCATCAACACCGCAACCAACAACAGTTAATCCGGGAAACACTAATGAAACCTTAAATGAAATTTAGATAGTACTGAATATCAAAGTAGATAGCTTGTTATAAAAATGGGAAAAGATTTCTTTGTTATATCTATTGATCTTACCATTAACTATTGGAAATACTTTTTATGCTTTTTAATGTCGTTTAATATTAAAATCATTCAGATTATTTGGACGATTTAACAAATAATCACTAAAAACAAATCTGTTTCACAGAATTTATTACAAATTGTCATTTATACCCCAGTATTGAATTGTTTTTAGATGCCGAAAAACTCTCACTCGAAATTGTTTTAAATGTTTTGATGTAGAGCCTCAAGTGATGATAATTCACAGATGCATCAAAAAACAATTCAAACCCTTACTTTTGAAAATGTTAGATATGTGAATTTCAATAAATGGCTTGATCGATTTTCGATAAATTATCTCACAATTGTGAAAAAGCTTTTGAAAATTGTGATATGACGTTTTCCATTAAAGGAGAAGTTTCCCAGATTATAATTGAGTTATTGTGAATTCTTATCATATGCTGTGGTTGGAATCTTTAAAGTTGCAAATTCAAATTGAAACAGGACTTTGTGAAAATTCAATTTCATTCTTTCCCTGACTTTTGCCTAAATTTTATGACGGTTATTCCAGGAATAGTTGACGCCACTTCTTTAGCCTAGCTGGGCTCAGCTAATATGGAGCTGCCATCTATTGTTATTGGAAAAATTTTATTTCTTGTAATCATAGTTATCTGAAAATGAGTTATTTTCACGGTGAACGTACAATAATACTGGATAATATATTAATTTTGCTTTTTTATGATAATTAATAGTTTAGAGCTCTTCAATCTTCAATCACAATTTGCTGAGAATCAAAACGCTCCTCTTGAACGGTAAAACTCGGCGTTTGCTTAAAAGAGCAAAACGGATCGATCATTGTCTTGACACAGCAGCAATCATCACAATTACCATCGAAATTTATCATTGGATATTGAGAAGTTTAGAGAAAGCATCATCAGGTGTTGTATTGACAGGTGCTGCAGTTAAGAAAGGGTTGGTTGGATTCACAAACACGGGCTGTAGACAAAAGAAAAAAAATAAGTTAAACAATCTGTTTTAAAGACAAACTGTATGGAGCAAACAGCAAGCTAAATCGATAAAAAATCAGTTTAAACCGAAAAGACTGCTTTTTAAGGCGTAATTATTTCAATGCCATTCATCATTTTTCATGATAATTCAACTACCAGCAAAAAACTATCACTAGTTTCCAATCAATAATGAAACCTAAAAAACAAACGATAAAAAGCTGTTTAATTGGATTAAATTGACGTTGATATAATAACTTTTACTTGACTTTTCAATGACAACAGCTAACTAATAATTAGTGGTAAATTAATCACTAGTGGGAGTGAAAGTCTGAAAAAATGTTTGATTCTTTGTCAGTAATTGTCGGGTCATTGAAAATTATTAGGCTGCAGTACGGAAAAATAATGATTTTAGAGAAATTTATAGCTGTTTGAATGTTTAAGCATTGCTTACTGGTTGCATTTGAGATTGTCCCAAAGTAACGCCAATTGGAGCAGGTGAAACGAAAAATGAGTTCTGAGTTGGTAGCGTTACTGGAATCTGATTATTAATTGATGGCAACCAAAGGTGATTATTTTGAAGTTGAGGTTGAGGTTGAGGTTGGGGTTGAGTAGAAAGTTGAGAATGAGGGAGACCAAAATTTTGTCCGAACAGATTATTACTGTTACTCTGATTGATCGTTGATTGAAGAGGATTTATATAAGTATTACAGCTTTCATAAAGCTTCATAATTGTTTCCTTATCCAATTTTTTATCCTGACTTGTTGGTGCTTTTTGATTGAAAAAATCTTTCTCCTCATCTGCAATACTGTTGCTTGAATTGGAAAGATCAGTTTTTTGCGTTCCACTAGAGTTTAAATCGTTATTGGATGTCATCGGAGCGGATACAAATGCTTCAAATGGATCATCGTCATTATTAACCAAGGTAGATGTTGTATTGACTTGATTATTACCATTGGATTTACTGTTACTACTACCAACATCAAGTCCTAATAGATCAACTGAGTGTTTCTTTGATTGATCCGAAACAATTTTCTCTACACTAATCGCACTTGTTGAAGTCAAAGTTGAATGTGGTCTTGGAACTGGAGTTGTCTGAAAAAAAAACAAAACAAAAATAGTGTTAACTAACAGTTTATAGCTGTTTTAATTCATTAAGCTGCGTGCCTAATGAGATCAAGTTTCTGTTTGTCAAACTTTAGAGTTAGATGGAATAGATGATAAGTGAGTCAGCGTTAATTACTAAACGTTAGTTAACCGTGGTTAAGTCAAAAGATAGTTAAAGTTTGCGAGAGGAGCTGCAAGGATTGAATAAGTAAAAGAATGAAGCAAGAATTAGGGGAAGGTTAATCACCGGTATAAGATGATGACGATAACAATGATGTTGGCAAATTTTCTTCAATCATTTATAGATACAGGTCATTGATTGAACAGCCATGGAAGTGATTGGAATTTCTTACCTACTAAGAACTAGTACCTAAGTTTATTCATTAAAATGGGAATTAAGTTATAAATATATTCAGGTTTAAATACTTTTACTTTCTGATTTTAAAATATCACCAGAATCAAGTAATGTTTATATTTAAGCACTTATTTGATATGAATATGTTTAAATAACTTCTGGCTGACTCCTCTCGCAGGACCGTTTCATTCCGATTTTTAAGAACTTTTGAATAAAGATAAAGTTGATCATCTACTCCTTTCTGTCCCTTTGTTTGACAATAATTGGTTATGTATTGATTTGACAATTTACCTGAACATCTACCGGAGACCCGTTAGGCTGAATTTTAGGAAGTCGGATTTTCTTTTTTTCCTTCTCTTTACGACGTTCTTCTTCTATATCAAACTGGAATATTTATGTTCAAAAGGTTGACGTAAGTATAAGATAAAGATATAGAAGGAAAGAAAGATGGAAAACAGAAATAAGGCAAAAAGAGGTTGAAAAGGTGAATTAAAGGGAGTGTAAAAAAAGATAGTAGACATGTATTAAGTGTTTGATTCAATCATCATTTGTGACTGATAATGATGAAGGGGAGAGACAAGAGTCATAACATGCAAAAAGATCGATAAAGTTCTCCAAGGAAATTTGTTATGTATGCTGGGATAGAGGTTTGGTTGTGACAGGCTAGTATTGAGATTATTTGAAACACAAGTAATTCTTACAGCAGGTTGAGGAGTTGGTGGTTGAACCCATTCCTTGGCAATGTATTTTTTCTGCTCATATTTAGCTCTAACGAAAGCTTCAAGTGATGAATCAGTTTGTGGCCTTCTGAAATTATCTGGAAGGTTGGCTTCGTACACTGCTCTGGCCTTGCTGTTACCCATTTGTTGAAGGTAACCGACTTGTTCAGGTGTCCAAGCATCCAGATTAACAGATTTAACTTTGGAAATATGTACACCTAGATTTCGATGTATACCAGCACATCGAATACACAGAAATATTCCTAAATTCCAAGAAGCCCATCGTGGACCTGAAGGGAGGAAAGGCAATTGAAAAATAGACGTGAAAATAGTGAAAGAGGAAGTGAATAAGAATCATAAAAGATAGTCTAACGATAGCGAAACAGCTTGGTGGTAAGAGGTAAGGGGGAAGTTGATGACAAGATAAAATCAGATAACAGTTACTTGACAATGACCATATTTCTTGTCACAATGAGTTCAATAGTGAAATATGTCATCATATGGTGGCTGAGAGACTATTACAAGACTGAAACATAGGTTAAAGGGTAAAGATGAGGCAATGTAAAAGATAAAGTGAGAGAAAATAGACAAATTTCTGACAAACCTTTAGCATCACAATCAACACAATATTTATTATCCTCGTCTTTAAGAAGATCATTTAAAATCTGCTGACACTTTTCTTGGACCATTTTTAATTTCTCCTTCTCCGCCTTCAAAGTTGCCATGGTTTAAAATGAAAAGAAAATTAAACAACGATTAAATTAAAAGATCAAAAGATGATAACAATGTAACGGTTTTTCAAAAAATAACAATTAAAATCAACTAATTGAAAGATGAATAATGAAAGATTGAATGAAAATGGTTACAGACATCACAGTACCAAGAATCCGAATATCCGATCAAAATTCCTTTTCCAAAATCCAATCTCAACGCCATCTATTATCACAGCTACAGACTAAAAGCTTATAATTTTTTGAACGAAAAAACTTGCAATCAAAAAATTAAATTAAATTTTTAATTGCCATAAGTTATTAGTGAATGGAAGCAATAGTTTATTTTTCCATGTAAATTTGAAATTTGCAATTTTATTAAAACCATCATTTCCCTGAAAACTGTGAATCATGTGGAAAGCAGGTCAACTGGTTAATTCATTGGAAACGAAAAATTTAACCCAAATTAAGAAAGTTGAACGATTTGAATGCATCCTCACGATTATTTAGCAGTTTGAAGATTCCAATTAATAAATAAGATAAGAATAATTGTTTCATCAATTGCGAAACTCGCAATTCAATCCCACAGATAAATAGTAATATTTAAATATAACAGGATATGGGAATCAATTGTTTACTCAACCTCAACAAGCATCTAATATTTCCACTGAAATATTGACCGATTGATAAAATTATATAATTTCGCTTATTGACATGAACTTATAATCTCTACCATTTATATCTAAACTAAATTGTTGACAACAGTGATAATGTCAATTACGAACACACAATCACGTCAACTGCTTCAACATTACAACCGGATTTAATTTACGCTGTACCACTTGTTGTAAAATAACAATATTATCAGGACCATCATGAGCCAAATCAGTAAATCAATATGGAAGATTATAAATCGTAATAAGCTTCCATTGCGAAATCATGAAATCATCTAATCAATTAAAAGAGGGAAAAAGAGATCATTAGTTGGATGCATAAAAAATTAACCATTAAAACAAACCAATTTCATCAGTGACACTCACTAAGTTCATTCAGGGATACAAGAACTCGCAGACAATTGAAATATAACTAGACTTGAAAACAATTAGATGTAAACATTATGCGCCAATTTCCAGCTAATGATTAAACATGTTAAAAAGAAATAATCTGTTCCCAGTGATGATAAACTGTAGACCATGGTTGTATGAAATTTCCTATGAATTGGCTTGATCCAGAAAATGAGGCAAACCAAACGAAGAACCAAACGCAAAGCGAACAAATAAATTTTGGCAGCAACATTATCATAATAATATCGGTTCTAATTTAGGGGCAATCCGATCAAGACAATTATTTAGATAAAAATTTCAATTAGATTAAAAACTGATAAGAAAGTGAATCTAATTATCACAAAAATTTAATCTCAATAATGTCCACCGGGAAAAATTTTTTAATTGGCGACAGACGCATGTCCGAAATGTGGATAAAATTGGTTGATCGGATCTTTGTAAATTAGTGACGTCACAAATTATTGAAATTTTATCTTATCTTATCTTTACAAACATTTTTATCCTAATTTTCATTCACATTTCTTGTTGATCGGATTGCCCCTTATATTGGTTTCCATCGGCTTCCATCTTTTTTTTCCTGGTCAACTTCAAAGTTTTGGGTGATTTGTGTGAGCATTCACTTCTGGTTCTGGTACCAAGAAAAACTGAAATAGACTAAACAAAAGCATGAATTAGTATAAGGTATATAAGGTATGAAGATGGTAATATTTTGGCAATGAGTTGGTTAAAAAAAACAAAGAAAAAAAGCCAAATTTGAAAAGCCAAAGGGAAGAGGAAGGCAAAGTCTAATGATGGACTTCGTGGAACAATAAAAAACGGATGAATGAGCCTCAAATTGTTAATCCGGTCACTGAACTCAATGATGATTATTGATTACAATTTTTAATGAAAACAATTTACAGTTTAACCCTGTGCATTCAATTTCTGTATCTTCATTTTTACCCTTTCAATCCCTGCCTCATCCAATTCTGAATAAACCACAGAGATTGATTCCACTGTCAGTCAGATTGTCAATTTTACAATGTGTCATCAAAATCAGGTTCACAATCATCTTACCTTAAGCTAGTAACCCCGTTTCAGTTTCAAGAGCAGCTTTAATTGAAGGTGGGCAGAGATGAAAAGATGAAGATAATGTAAAGATACGGAATAAAGAGGCAAGATAATTTGGAGCCTTTCACTAGGCGGAGAAAGTGAGCAAAAACAAGATGAGAAGAAGATAAGAAATCTCTCTTTTTTTCTCTCTTTCTCTCTCTCAAAAAAACTGAATAAGAAGATGAAACTTTTTTTGAAATCAAATAATAACAAAGAATCATAACAATAATAAATAACATTCACTTGTTTGTTCATCTTTTTGTGGTCATAACACATTTTTAAATTGTTTAGTTTCATCCAATTTTCACACAATTTTTGCTCATTAAACCTTTCATCAAACCTTTACTGTTGATCAACTGAAACTTTAACCGGGAAAATTTCATTCATCATTATCGCCATCCTCATCAGCAATAACAGTTTACATCTAATCATGTTTACAGTAAAAATGTTTCTCATGCTAATCTCAACTTGTATTGTTACAGTTAAGTCAACTGTTATCAATAATTCATTAGGACCAACCAATGAAATGGCTTCAAATGGCAGATCAAACAACGAGACAACCCTTGATTATCAACATCAGCCCAACAATTCAAATCAATTTATCATGGAATCAAGAGAAAGGTAAGCCTTTTGCTTCTCATGCTAATTATAAGTTTTGTTTCATCGTCACTTTAATCATTACCTTGAAAGTGCAAATGTAAACTCATTAATGAAAAATGTTAATTTTGGTTATAAAAATTCTGTAAATTACTATTCATTTATCATCTTTAATTGAAACTTCAACTCTTTCATTCATTTCGTTATTTATTAGGAAACGCAAAGAACGACTTGCATTGATTAAATCGCAAATTTTATCGCAACTCAATCGTCGAGTAAATAATGGAAATGTTGATAATCAGGATTGTTCATTGACAACTAATGAGCGTAATATTTTGAATGAAATATTTGTCATTATAAAGAAAACACCTGAAGGAACAATTGATGTTGATCAATTTACAACCAATCCAATCATAATTGATAAACTTCAAGGTTTACGATCAAATTGTAAGTAATTCATGAAAATTATTCAATTCTTAAAGTGTAAATTAAACAGTTAGTCGACTGGTATTCAATTTAAAACAGCAATATGATGAACATTTTGGAAACCAATGAATTTGAATGAAATTGGTGAAAGTCTCTTGAATAGTTGTTTGAAGTAAACTCATTTTTATCAAAATATTTGTGATATTAACTTCGATCATTTGATTTAAGCTTAATAATTTTATGTAAATTAATTAGGGCCAATGGATATTCAATTATGGACAGCATTATGAATAGCAATTATGAAATAATCAAATTATCTTTTAGTCAATATCACTTTGATTTTACTTGATGTTGAATGCATTTAATGTTGAAAAATAAGTTTACCATTGTTAAGATCATTTCAATGAATTTTGCCCGAAAAACTCAGATTGCTGAATGAAATCAGGATTAACCTGACTGTTATACTTAACATAAGCGCACCTAACTCTTTTTAATCATTAATTTCGTTGACCTGAAGACATTTCTATGGTAGCATTTGTGATGGAAAACATCAGTCAAATTGACTTTAGGATAGGCAAAGTATCAAAATTTCAGACAGATAATTAAAGTTAATTAATAAGGCCTCCTAAACACCCTGGGCCCGAAATTGAATAACAAGAAGCGTCTTATCTGTGAATCTTGTACTCTCCTATGTAAACCATTTGGGAGGTAAACTGTCACAAATTAATGTTATTTTAAACTTGATACACTTAACTGGTAAAAACACATCAAGTATACTTAAACATCAAGTGTTTCGGAGGATCGGGTGTTTATTGCAACCATTTTGGGTCAGAAAAGGTTGAAATAATTGCAATAAAAAAAGAAGAGAAAAAAACAAAAATGGAAATCACTTGATTATAGATGAAAATGGAAATTCCCGCCACTCAGAGAATTTACTTTTCTTTTTTGCTGTTAACCATCATTAATATTGCCATGAGTTATTCCGAGTACACCAGAACGATAAGTTGTAAGGTTTAAAATGTAGAAAATAATTTTACTTTTTACTCACCAATTCACCACGCGCTGTAATTTTCGCTTTCGGGTTTTGGTTTTGGGTTTTTTGCTTTGGGTTTGACCGATTAATTAATCTTTAACCGAAAAAGTACTGAGTAGTCATTCTAGATTAACAAGCTCTTAATCCAAGGTGATTAAACTCTAGAACCTAAGGAAGGTTGAATAAGAGAGAAATATGAAAATAAATGTTATAATTGATATAAGTTGATGAGAACAATGAAATACCTTGAATTGTTGAATTAGATCATTAGACACATGATGTCAATTGGTTGATAACAATGATTTAGATGGTTTAGCTTGTTACATTTAAGCTATTGGTGATGGTAAAAGCCAAGAAATTGTCATAGATGTTGAAGATGGTAGAAAATAAACCGCAATAGACTCATGAGTCAACACTAATGGGCGCCAAGTTGTCACCATAATCTCAACTGGTAGTTACTAAAGAGAAACAATATGAATTTTAGTCCACTATTTTAATCACAATTCACTTAATTTGAATAGAAATGGATATTATTCAGTAATTTTCTCTATTATCAATGTTTCACAAAATATTGAATTGAATAATTAAGTGACACATGGTTTAGGTGATTTGGATGAAAGCTAAGGTAATGACACTAGATGTAGACAGAGAAAAGGGTAAATAGAGGGAAAAATAAAAGAGGGAAAAAATGAAGGGCGGAGAAAGAGAGTGTTAGAAGAAAGTTGAGCAAAAAAATGATAAGAAAGTTCATTTTCTTGTTGTTCAAGTACGAGATTACCCTTTCATATTTTTGTTTTTTGTTTCATTATCTTACAGCTTTTTAGATTTCAGTTTTTATTTCTTTTTCTTGGTTTCCATTTCGATTGTCTATTTATTTACACTGAGTAACTCTTTGGTTATCAAAGTCATGATATCTATTGTGTCATTTAAAATAAATCCCATTTTTGTTTTCTGTTATATTTCCTTAGCTTGGATTTGTGTTAAAAATGCTCTTTCTGCTTCAGCTGGACGTCAGCTTAATCCGTTAAATTCAACCATTTTGTCTCGCTCTTTCTTATTTCCATCAATAAACTCATCATCAACATCAACATCATCATCAACTTTATCATCCAATTCATCGTCATCATCCATTATTGGACATCACCTCTTTGACCAGTCTGGTTTATCAAATAAAAGTCTAATTGACTATCAAAATGACAATGCAACCCAACAACACATTCTTGAACAGAGACAAAGGTTTGTTTCAACTATTTGAACTTTCTTTGATTATTTACTGGATTTTGTATAAACATGTGAAGGAGAAAAAAGCGCAATTCTGATCCTCCATCTGTTTAGTCTACATTATAAGATAAACCCAGACAGTTTAACCTCAAATTTGTAGATCAACAACATTGCTGTTGAGTCTAACACATATTTACAATGTTGAATTAATTATTTTTGTTCTTCTTTTTACATCAGGAGACGCCAAGAGAGACTTATTTACATACAAAATCAAATATTATCTCGCCTTGGTCTAACCCAGCGAGCTAATGAAACGGTTCCTCCTTGTAAGCTAACTGACGAAGAGCGAGCTCTAATTAACCAATTATTCACCAAATCAACTTCATCATCCATAACAGCGAGTAATGCCAATCAAATATCAAATGCAGTTTTCACCAAAATCCAAGGTTTCTATCCTTCATGTAAACTTGACCTGACCTCAATGGATCCAAATCGACTCAACAATTCCCTCTCATCATGATTTACACAAGTCTTTAAACCTTTTCTGCCAAAATTTGCTTCATTGCCTTGTTTTTTTACTTACATGCACTCACTTAAAATTATTTCAAACTACCTTTTTTAACAATTATTAACTGATTTTAGCTATGCATCAATTCATGAAATGTATTATCATAATCTCGAGATCCATTGAACTATTAAATTTTTTCACATTTTGTACATAATCTTATCATAGTTGTACATTTCAACAGTTTACTAGTTTCAAATGATGGACTTACTGAATACACCTAACCTTTGGATCCGGACACACCAAAAAATGATGTTTATACATTTCCATTCGTTTACCTTCAACAACCTTATGATAAATCTTGATTTTTATTTACTCTGATTACAAACTTGGTATTGATTACGATAAAAAAGGAAAGTTTGAGAAGCGAAAATCGCAAATGACTTTGATTTAATGGAACTGACAGCAACAACTACGGAACACGGAATCCACCTGATAAACATCTTAAATCATTTTTACTTTTTGATTATCAATTATCAGGTTAAAACCTCCCAATCAACATGCACATGATTAACTTGATTAGCAGAAAGTAATCATCAATTGACTTCTCTAAGGCCTCAAGTTAAGGCCTCACTCTTTGCATCAACAAACAGAGAAGCGGAAGCTTTTCATTTCAACTTACAACAACATATTTCTTACATAGTAAGTTATTATTTCAAGGGGTTTTATCGTCAATTGTAATTGTCTAATCAAGCTGATTTTAGTAAATTTATTTCCTGGAGGAAAGTGTTATTAAAAGCGTTGCCCTCTTCATCTGAAATATGCGTCTATGACTACAGCGAATCTAACCATAAAACCAATTGCCTCTTCGGTAATAAATACATTTACATTAATGGACCAAAAAAATGAGGTACAAAAATCTTTATATACTTGTCAACATGGGATGATTGTGATTAATTACTTTATTTATGATATCAGAGTAGACATCGGATCATTCAAAGAATACTTAAATTGTGACTAAATGTGTAAACAAGTGTAATTTAATCAAAAACAACCTGTGACAACTGTTAAGGTCAATTGAAAAATCAAATAAAAAACGGAAATTTCAATTAAATTGTTTCGTTTAAAATCAAAATGTTTCAATGTGAACAAAACAAAATCAAAACAAAATCAACGGAAGCTGACAAGTTGACTCCTGAAATTTGCAGACTGTTATGAATTTCAATTGAAATCAATCAATCCGAGTCAGTTTAATTGCCTTCCAGACAGAAACTAACGTCAAATTATGCTAAAATAATGAAAATGCTACATCAAACCATTAATTAAACTAATCAACACACATTTAAATTCACAGAAAAAAACAAACTTATCAATAATTGGTTGCGTTTGTAATTTACCATCCATTATTGATCTATTTAATCAACGCAAACCATTTCAAGGTCTCAACTGTGAGCTCAACTTGAAAGATCCTTCAACTTTTGTTGTTATTCAACGGATAAACTGAATAAACATAGTAAAATACATCATATTATTAATACATTAGTAATAAAATAATTCCATGTGACTCGGAAAAATACTTAACTTTGCAAACTATCAAAATCAATCCATCAAACAAGATGAGAATCGGTGTTTCTCTTTCCAATTAAAAAAAGTCTTATTGATGTAATCACCAGTATTGATTACAGGTGATCAAGATTTACATTATCGCTAAAATTGTGGTCCAATTTTTCAAGTTAAAAAAGATCAATGAAATTGAAAATCTCGATTTGACTTGATTCCTAAAATTTTTCAGCTTAAAATGAATTGATCAGCTCTGGATGTCGTTTTGATATTAGCTTTTAATTTTGTTCGTGTTTCGTGTTCAATCGACAATATTGATTTGTTAGTGTTTCCAAACCTGGATTTTAAACACCGTCAAATATTGTTAATTATGCTTAAGACTATTGAGTTTAGACAGTAATAAGGTATGACGAGTAATGTTTTGGACTAATTTTTCAAAATTCAATTGCGACAGTTAGACTAGACTTACAGGCACCATTTAAGTATTAAAATAAAGCTTAAATTTTCAACAACGTAACAAAAAATACAATTTCGATCAAAAATTGTCAAGTTATGGTCTTAAATGGACAAAGGCGTCAAAATCTGATTTTACCTTTCGTCAAAAACCATATATTTTAAACTTCATACCAGGGTTCTGAAGAATCGAAAAGTGGCCAAATTTGGCCTCAAAGTTGTTTGTAGCGAATTAATTCACCTAATATAACTCAACATAGATCGATTGAAAGGTTCAGGTCAACATTGAAGCTAAATTTCACGGACATTTGATTAAAACGAGATTTTTCGCCGATTGAAAAAGGACTTCGATTTCGAATATTTCAATAGATTATTCAAAAATAAAAAGAGCAGAAGTCACTTTTCTTCTATCGATGAAGTTCTGATCTTTTATTTGGGAATAATCTCTTGAAATATTCGAAATCTAAGTTCTTTTTCCAAAAGTCTTTTTTCAATTCGCAAAAAAATTCACTTTTTTAACAACTCTCCTTGAAATCTCCGTTTCTATGGTGACCTGAACCTTTCAATCGATCTATGTTAAGTTACATTAGTCGAATTGCATCTTTTTTAACAATTTTGAGACCAAATTTTGCCAGAACCCTGGTATGAAGTTGACAGTACATGGTTTTTGACGAAAGGTAAAATTAGATTTTGACGCCTTTGTCCATTTAAGACAAAGAGGAGCTCTTTGATTTAAGACCATAACGCAATAACTTTTTATCAAAATTGGTTTATTTTTGCGCAACATGTTCTTGGGAAGTGTACCTTCATTTTAATGTTTAAATGATGCCTGTAAGTCTAGTTTAACTGTCACAATTGAATTTTGAAAAACTAGTCCAAAACATTACTCGTCATACCTTATCACTGGTCCATTAATAAAGGTAAATTGTAAGACTTTCTGTTCTTGAAAAAAACATTTCTTAAGAAATCGGAGTCTTCAGTGATGCGTTTGTAACATCTCAATGTTTTAGGTACGAAGTGATGACGTCCATCATAAAGAGTTATTTGTCGATTGTTTTTTAGACAATATTGGTCAATAAAATCTATAGCAGATTTGTTAAGTAAGCTTCCAGTTAAATCCAAAACAACTAATTTGGGTAAAATGTTAAACAGTTCAATAATATGATGTTCCTTGATTTTACTTCGCGCTGAGCCATATAAAAGTATCCCAAGATGCTTGATGTTTGGATACTTGACCAATACAGCGGGCAATACTTTGAGATCAATTCCATTAGCCTGAAACGACGTAATACCAAAATTACAATTAAACATAGAGATCAAAGAAAAACAAATTTAACTCACAAACGTAATGACCAAATCTTGTAGATTATAATTTAAAATGTTTTTGTTGATGAATACGTCAGCAACAAATTCAATGGTAATGAAGGCACTTTTCAACGATGGACAGTGATCCATAAACTGAAATCCATAATAAACATGTAAATTTCCAACCCATGTCAACAATTCAAGGATTTCCAAATGTTTCAACTCAGGTCCTGGGTAAGGTCCATTACTTTCACCTGAAATAAGGATAAACTTTCAGAATTAGAAACAAGAATAGGTGAGATTTTAAACTGTTGAATCAAGACTTACGTTGGTCATGAGAGTATGTTTTAAGATGTAATCTGCGCAATCCAGGAAAATGTTTTATATTCAGAGCGAAATCTGTAAATACGACTTCGAATAGACTCAGTTGCGACAATTTAGCTCCATAACCTTGATTAGTGTAGTAATCATTTAAACCATCGGTTGCAAGCATTTCAATGTGTTGACAATTGATTGATAATTCATGCAACATGTCACGCTTACAGATTAGTCCTTTTAAAGATTCTGAGTTATTAATGAAGTTTACAAGTGTTTTTAATCCAGGATCTGAATTATCCAAGAAGAATAAATCAAGAATCTGTAATTAAAAAATTTGATCGATTAATACATAAAATTACACGGAAATAATTAGCAACCTACTTTAATCTTGGTAAATAAATCTGCTAAATCTATTTCTGGAAATTTAAATTTTCCCTCGTAATAGATTGAGTCCTTTGGAACCTAAAAAATTGAAAATATAAGTTATTTTGTAAGTTCAAATTGAGCACAAGCTTTCAAGAAAATACCTTAGGTTCAGGAGCAAAGCTGTATTTCCATGTTCGAAGTTGAGACCATCCAACCACTAAATCAACAATAATAATTCAAACCCATACTTATTTCATGTTATGATGGAATATTTGAAAACATTGTTTAAACTGAAAAATCTCTTGAAAATATAATGCATAAAGGCTAACGAAAAAATAACGAAACGGTTTAGTATTATAAGTTTTTAGTTAAATTTAAAAACTGATCAGATTTCAGGCAATTTAGTAGATGTACCTTCGTAAATAACATGACAATAAAGAGCCCATTCAATACTTACAAAGATATTTAGCTTTTCTGGCTCGATGGGAGATCAGTTGATTCCATTTTTGGCAAACTGCAAAAGAAAGAGACTCAATTAGTTTGAGCGATGATTTATAACTTAAGAAATTCATTGAAAAAATTGAACAATGGCGCTCTGATTATTAGCAATCAGAGATAAACAAACCTTGATAACAATGAATTAAATCCGGTAAATCACAAATCAAGTAAAAGATTTTAAGCAGACAATCATCTGGTAGTTGATTTATCAATAATGTTGACTCGGACATGTTTCAAACTTCAAGGTAATTTCCAATCAAAACAAACTGTGACAATGAGCTAAATAAACAATTTCATTAAGAATACGAATTATCAGTCATATGTTTAAGTCTATTAGCGTTTTTCGATAGCTTTTACCGCCACCATTTAGAGTGAGAAAATATTAAATTGTGCAAGCACAATTTTTAAAATAGCAAGGCATTGAGTTAAAAATAACACATAACGACATTTCCAAGTTTTCTTTACGATATAAGATAAAGAATTAGCTCTACAAAAGGAAGGGGCCCAATAGAGTGGACCTAAATATTATCATGAATGTAATAGTCAATGAATGGTGATCGCTAAGAAGTAAATAAAAACATTAACGATTGAATTTACAGTTGGGTCGAGCTCATAAAAACTAAACCTTTCTTGATCGATTTACACTTACAGAAGATCTTTCTAACAAAATGATGATAATATTGTCTTTATGTTCAAGAAAGATACACTGTTGCTCACAATAACTTGATTCCCATACATTATGCTAACAATAAATGTTAGTAATGGTGTTTAATAAACACTAATTTCAGCTTAACTTAACTGAATTAAAGGTTTTCAGCTCCATCTATTGAGTATGAAAAGAGTAACTTTTACATTAGTTTGGTTAATTTTCGTAAGATGACGTTGCATGAATGATGATCATGATTCATGAATGATTTTGAAACAGTTACATGTATTGAATTTAATTTGCAATAAATTAATGTGTTTCTGAAAGTTCAAATATAAAACACATATTCATTTGAACCCTAAAAGGTTTAATTTCCTTTTTTGTCATTGCGATCATATAACCTCATCAGTACCAACATAATCATCATCATCATCGTCATTATTAAATTACATTTACTTTAGAAAACTTGTTTTTAATTATTAGACCAAGTAATTACCCAGAGCATCATCGTTGGGTTATCATTAACAATCAAAAATATTGCCTTAAGCAAATTTGGAGACACAACAGCAACTACAATTACTTTTGTTTCTGTAAAATGAAAAAATATAAGAGAAAAAAACAAAATCAAAAATAATGCTTCTTCAAATGTCACAATTAATATTACTTACAATTTTAATGTAACTTTATTATGTGACCTCAAACCTTATACAAGATTCAATGGAAAGTCTAGAAGAGAAAGATAAAAATAAAAAAAAACATAAGAGGAGTCAAAAAAGAAAGAGAAAAAAACTTAAATGAAAGAAAAAAGATGATGAAAGAGATGTAAATGAAAGTATACCAGGTAACCTTTTCTTCTTCATCTTTATCTTCCTGGGACATTTAACAAGGCTGGAAATTTACTCAACTTATCTTTTCATCCTCATCTTCATCATCTCATCTCGCTATTGATGCAAATGATAACCGCCTTTTGCAGAAACGTTAATGTTTAAAAAAGCGTAAGCAATATTTACCTTTCCAATGGTTTCTAGTCGACACTTTTCTCAAAGTTAACTTCCAGTGTTAGCCATCCAAAAAGATAATCACATAAACTTAGATACATAATCATATTAATTAGTAAAGCTAAATAAATGCATTCAAACAATTAATTGAAAAATAAATCTATTGCATTTTAATTGAAAACAGCTTAGCTTTCTCTCGCTAAGCAACCCTTATTAGCCAATGAAAAAAAAGAGTTTATTTTATTTTGTTTTTCCCTCTCAATTGCACCACATGTTGCTATCAATGCTTTTGTTTTAATGAACTTCAAACCTAAGGTTATTATGGTCAGATTTTATCAATTTTAACAATTATTGTTGGTCTAACATTTTAATCTTTTTTGACCAGTGCTTTTGTGTCCCTTCATGATTCCCACTTAAACAGTTGCAATTACCAATTGAGTCGTAAACAGATTTAATCATGTGATACAAAAATCTAGTAAATTACCTTGACCCTGTGGTTAATGTATATGTAAATAAAACTAGATTGTCAACAGTTTTGCTTTCTTCAAACTCAATTTTACATCTGATTGGATCGCAAAAGAAACAAGCTCAACTGATTAAAATCCACTTTAATCATGTTTAACTGATGCAAAGTGATGTTTACTTTACAATATTCAAGACAAACGGTTTACCCTGCTTTGGCTAATTATCAACTGTAATCAACAATCTAAACACTTTTGCTGCTGCTCAAAACTTATGATTTGTTTGCAACAAAAACATCTCTTTGTATTCAATGCAAGTCCAGATCTAAGAAATTAATTATCAATTGGAAATCGTAAAAAAGTCGTTGGAACCATGCAATTGACCGAAAGCAAAATTGGATTGCGGTGAACACACTTCAAATATCAACATGCTCATGGCATCAAATTACCTCAATAATTAACTATGAAGCTGATTGATCCTAAAAGATGGTATAATTTTAATTATTAACATATCAATGTTATGGTGCAGTTTCACATTATTTGATTTAGAAACACACACACACACAACGGAAGGAAGGAAACTGTTAAAACCGTTGTTTTTACATTTGCAAATTGCAAGGCAAACATGAGAAAATACTTTCTTCTCCATCATCATCATCATCATCATCATCACCATGTTGATCATCATGTTGATAAACTGAATCTAAAAGCATCCTTTGAGTCCCTATTTGAAGCCTATTTTAATGAGACTCATCAATCATTTGCTCTCTAATTGAACATTGTTTCCAATCGTCAACTCATATGTTGAATATCCAAAAACAAGAAGTATCATCATCATTAACTGTACAGTTAATTACTCGAGTGAATCACACACAAACACATACACCACTCACAAAGAAAGGGAAGAAGGGAATTGATCTAAAAGTGAATCACTTATCTTCATCTCCTGCCTCTATCGACCTGTGGCAACATCGGCTAGAACAAATTTCATGTCAAAATTGGGACCAAACTGAAAATGTTGCCATTGACTATGCAAAGAATGTTCAACGAAACTTGGAAACCCTAATTACTCTTCCAGATGAATCATATTTTTGTCAACAGTAATTTAAAGCCTTTTTGCACAATGAACTGGGTCCATGTTTTCGGATGTTAATAATAATAATAACACTAATTAGCCCTCTCTAGACTAGATTGAAAAAAAACAATGAGTAACCTTTGACTGGCCCAAGTGAAAAGTTGCCCAGTGAGATGCTTTTTGTTCAACGATGACAATGGGATCACAATTAATCATAATTAATCATCTTACTTTCACCAAAACATCTTTCATCTCTAATCACCATTCAAGCTAAATTGATGAACAATAGTCGAGTCGAAAGTGAAAAGATCTTACGTGGAAACCAATTGTCGAAAGACTGATAAACTTCTTTGTCATGTTACCTGAGCAGAAATTTATAATTTCAGTTCGAATCGTGATTTGTTTTACTTTCAAATTAATGTTAATTTGCATTGCATTATTCATATTTAACAATTGATGCAAAAGGATGGCAAAAGAAACACCATTTTGATCTTATAACAAATGTTAACTAGGATTGTATAATCAATTACAAGGTTTACTTTGCTGTCTACCAAGACTGGTTAGCTGTTGTCAACTTAATTGTCATAATATTTAAAATGGTATCAACAAGAAGTAATGAAACTTATGATAATCAAGTTTACTTTGGTGGGTTGCTGTGTCATTAAATAATGATTATATTTACTGTTTTAAATTGCGACGTTGAACAAGGTTAAGCTAATTTTATACGTGTTTATAAACGAGTTAACATAGGCCCTAGAATAAAATTGAAGGCCAAGGCTGGAACAAGGAAGCAAGATGACGACCAAGACGACAATGATGATGAAGGAAGAAAATAATTCTTTGGACTTTACTTAGTCTCGGCAGTTTAAATTACAAGTCATTAATTGTTTGCTTGCGCTCGCTCAAGGTATTTTCATCGTCTTCAATCAACTTGATGATGATTCCTTTTGCTAACCATGGACAATCATCTCAATTATCGGTACAATTTGACGGCAAAGAGGATGGAAACATTGATGATGAATTATTCTGTTGTAAACGAGGATAAATGAATCGCGTGTGGTCAATTATTTGATTACAGTCAATATGAAAAGGTGAACAATGTTGCAGCCCATTGAACGTTTAATGAACAATATTGTTACCATAAAACCAGTTATTAGTTCATTAAACTCAAATTAAACAAATTGGACGATTATTATCAAGCCAAATTAATAACATAAGGAAGATGATTTTCCATTTTTGTTTTGGTTCCTCATTTGATATCATCAAAACAATCCAAATCTTGGGACAACTTTGAATAACTTGAACATTTTTGCTGGTAAATTTGATCAATCATCATTCCATCTGATACTAACTGTCACCTACTTCAATAAGATTCATAAATGTGATGAATAAGAAGATGATAATGATAATGATGAAACAAAGAAGTAGTCAAATTAACTGATTGTTGTTAACCTTGGAAACAAATCCGGAAGAACAAATGATTTACATTATTCAAAGTAATCAGTTTAGGTCTACTGAGTTTAACAACAGAAAAGTTAAGAAGCTAAAACTGTTACTATCATTTTTTTATTAAAAGCCTTGAGCTGAAAATTACCTTGATATAAGCATGATATGAGAGTATTAATTATTGTATATCAAAAAATGATGATCAACTGATGATGTTGATGAGGGTGTTAAACAGTGAGACTAAGGATAAAAACTAGAATCTAAATTTAGCCAAAATGAAAAGGTCTAAAAAGCTCACAGGGGAAAGTGAAAGAGATTAAGTTAAGGGTTTGGCCATACAAAAACGGTACTTTAATAATAGTTGTTACCAGTGTAAAGGTAACTTCTTTACCTTTAAATACAAGGTTCCAAGCTTGGGGTGGCTCAATTTTAGCCCCAAACAAGACTAAGGCCATTGAAAGTCAACTGAAAGCGAAGGAGCAAAAAAAAAAGATGAAGATGAAGAAGCAAAGAGTCATGCTCATGATGAGTATCTTGTTGTAGGCTGTACAGTGGAAGATGAAGATGAAGATGATAATGATGATGATGAGGAAGATGGGGAAGATGATGTCATCATCTTTTCTTTAAAACTTTCTCACTTTTCAGATTCACTTTACTTTATTCCTAACCACCAACTGAACAACAGCAATCTCAAAAACAGACCAACATCTTCAATGTTTACAATCTTGTAATCTATGCTTTTGCTAGTGAATTAACACTGTTTTCCGAACACTTTTTATTTTATTTTATTTTATTTCTTTTTGCCTTTTCTCTTTTTTTTTGCAAATGCAAAATTCATTTCAACTTTAATCATTGAACTTTTTTGTTTCGTGAAAATGTACATCAACCGAATCACTGGACTCTCATCATCATCGACAACCTCATCTACTTCAACGACCTCAACCACAACTGTTTCATCATCTCTATCATCAGCCATAACCACTTCGTCCTCTCCTTCCTTGAGACGATCCACATTCAATCGGAAATCCCTCTTGTTGCCAGATATACTTCGAGACACTGAAAAGAGAGATCACCTTCGAGGTCTTTGTACACCTCCACCTTCACCACTTTACCAGCTTTCATTTTTCAATCGTTCACCATCAAACAACAACAACAACAACAACAGCTCATCAGCTCAAAACATTAAAAACATTAACAACATTAACAACAACATGAGTAACAACAACAACAACAACGACCAAAGATCGCAATCAAACCGATCATTACCCAATGTCATTTCAGCCATGCCCATTGATTTGGAATTAATCAGAGAAGTTGGCCATTCATTGAGACTCATAAGCGATGCCTTCGATAAGCAACACAGCCACAAAGCCTTATTCTCGATAATCGTTATCCTCCAATTTTCAATGTATTTTTGAATGTACAATTTTCATTTTTGCATAACAAACAAAATAAAGATTGAATTGTAAATTACGATAAACCAAAAGCAAAATCTGTCAACACTTTATTTCAAATAAACAATTGATACAATCAGAGTAAAAATCGCGTTAAAATGAGCGTGAAAATTGAGCCCAAAAATTCTGAGCCAAACAAGATAACAGTATTTACCCAATGATAACCTAATCACAATTAACGCTCACTGTTAACCATTTAAACCTATGAAAATACAGTAAAAAGTAGAGGCAAAAGCTCAAGTAAAATGATGCAACAAATAACCGCCAATTACAGGGAAAGAAGAGAAAATCAATTTTTCTTTTTCCAATGTCTTTTCTTGAATATCGACAATTGCAATGACTTGAAGTAATTGCAGGTCAACTGATTAGTAATGAAGAATCATGAATCACTTTATTGCTACTTTTAAAGGTAAAAAGGCTTCTACTTTGAACCAAGGAAACAAGTTTAATCGAGTTAAATCAGTTTCTCTCTTTTTCTCAACTGTTGATCATTTTCATTGTTAATCAATTTGTTTGCTTTCCTTCTTTGCATGTTAATCAATATTGAATATTAAGTAAGTGTCTTTTTGCATGACTTTTTTGCATTAAAATTAATTGCTATTTAATGAAAGAATCAAATTGCAATGAAAGTTTAGAGCGATCATGAAAATCTCATTATCAACCTTAACCAATGTTGATCAGTTAATCCATCAAAATAAAGTTAAGGCAATGAAGATGATTGTCTTAACCCCTTAGCTTTTTACATTGTTCATGGT